TCCACACCCAGCCCTCTTTCCTGCCTATGCAAGGGGTCAGACTCGATGATCTATTGAGGTCCCTTCCAACCCTAACATCTATGAATCTATAAGAGCCACCACCTCTGTAGTTTTGACTCCGCTGTGATGTAACGCACAGCCATGACATCAGTTTGGCTTTCAAGAATTTGGGGTACAGTTCCCCCCAAGCCCCTGCACCTATCTTCTTGAAGCTTGGCAGATATCATGCTCTCAGCAGAGGCCACCATCCCTGCAAGTTTCATCCAAATTGGACAAAAAACAACAAAGTTATAGATATTTCTTGATTCCCCATTACACCCTATGCCCAGATCTCCAAGGCAGCTCCGAAGCTTCGGAGCCGGTTCGTCCGGATTGAGGCAGAAACCCGGTCCGGAGCTCCGGACTGGATCGCGGCCAATCGAAGCGGCTGGATCTGAAGCCAGATCGGATCGCTGCTGACTCGCACAGGCCTATTAGCATATGAAATACCTTCTCCTATGGATCCCACCATCTCTGTATTTGGCAAATCCTAAATTCCTACCACTCACCTTCCCAAATAAGATCTGCCTTTTACAGCTGACGTTTATAGGCACTGTGGGGTGAATTTAACTGTGACTCTTTAAAAATGAAACTAGCAAGGTTTCCTTTGGTTACTTTTTTACCCAAGTATTAGTTTCACAAATTTCTGCACAGCCATGGTAAAAGCTCTATGACCATAGGTGGCAGAAGACTAGGGCTAATGGGGTTTAGCTTCCCCCAAACTGGGCCAGTGACAGTGGCTCCAGAACCACCACTGCCAAGCACCATGCCCAGAGCTCCTGCCGCCCACTCCTCCAGTGCTGCACACATAGCACTAGCGCATGCCAGCCCAGAACGGCCCTGCGGGAGGTATGGGCAGGGTCAGGCGGGCATGCTCCACACTGCCCAGCCCCCACAAATAATATTTTCTAGTGCTTCTTATTACAGTTGTGCGAAGCTTCGGTCGCTGATTTGATTCAGCGGAGCTTTGGCCCAATTCGGTGGCCAAATCTAATACAAATCAAGAGACCCTTTAATCTCTCTGAATTAAATCGGAACCCTCTGAATCGATTTGGAGAGATTCGGATATAGACAAAGCTTTAAATGTTTTTTCTACATGCCTCAAGGTACCAGGCGGCTCGTGAGTGCTGCAATGCCAGGGTGGACGGAGTGTCCCACAGAAGCATGGGGAGCTCCCCAGAGTGCTCGCAGCAGACCTGGAAGTGGACCAGAAGCACTTCTGATCCACTTCCAGGTCTACCAGGGCCCCCCCCAGCACCCCACCGGCTCAGTGACTGGTGCCTCCTGGGTCTGGAGGGGAGGCACCTGGGGTTCTCCACCGCCGATCGCCGAGCTGGAGGGGGGGCCCTCATCGTGCTCCCCAGTGGACCCAGAAGTGGACCAGAAGTACTTCAGTCCACTTCCAGGTTCGCTGCTGAGAATGTGGGGGACCCTCCGCACTCCTGTGGGACACTCCATCCATCCCAGCATCCATGAGCCGCGCCTGGTACCTCAAGGTATGTAGAGAAAACATTTAAAGCTGTGTCTATGGCTGAATTGCAGATTCTCCAAATCAGCACTGAATCTTCAGATTCAGATTCAGCCAGATCGAATCGGGGACAACGATCTGAATCAACGAACTGAATCACTGTCCCTGATTCGGGCCAAATCCAAATTGAATAGGGCCTGTTTCACACACCCCTACCGCTTATATTTATGAGGTATGCAGTTCCAGTAACCCCCATTGATTTCACTGTAATTGTAAATGTACAACACCTGTCAGGATCAGGAACAGTATTTAACTAGTGTCATGCCAGCAGGGAAAGCTTTTTAAGGGGAGCTGCAAAAACATTAACTTTTATAGGAAGCAGATTTGGATCTTCTGTATGAAAAGATAAATCCAGCCTAAGTTATGAGGACAGTTAATGGTCCCTGGGTTTCCTTTACAAAATAAGTCTCATAGAATTTTGAACAATATAAACACCTTCCTACAGGTTTCTGAACTGCCCTACTGAATTTAATAGAGAACATTAGCTATGATATAGTACAGTGATTCTCCATGGCATCTTCAGGTACTGTAAGATCCTTTTAAGAGTTGTGTTGTGTAACTATCACAATTAGGTGTGCGAACACCTACATAATTCACAAGATAAAGCCAGAAATTTCAAATAGGAATCCATAGCATCGAAAACATTCTGACCTGTTGTGGTCTTTCTGGGTGCATCTACACATGCAATTAATGTGATGTGATAAACTCCAGAGCACTTTGAGCCAGAGTGAAACTGCTCCCAGGTGCAGCATTTACATGCGAGTCCAGGAGCAGGCCCCTGGATGGCTGGGCTGACCAGGCACAATTTATGCCCTTGGTCACCATCTACATGCATGTTTCAGAGCTGTAAAGTACTCCGCCATACGAGAGTACTGTCCCCGACCCTACTATCCTACGGCAGAGTTAATTAGTTTACTGCATCCTAATACTGTTGCACATGTAGACAGTGATGCTTTACAGAGGAACCAATTAGTTAACTCCACAGTAAAGTGCATGTATAGGTGCACCCTCCGAGTTTCTTGCAACAGAAGAACTGCTCGATGATTTTTCCAGTCAAGAAATAAGTGAAAACTAAAAATTGGCATTTTCTGAGGGGCGCCTTGAGTCTAAAAAGGTTGAGAAGTACTGATAGAGTAGATTAAACAGGCAATGGAGACTGAAGCCAGGCAACTGTTCCTGGAAAGGATGGGCTGGAACACTTGGATATTGGTGGGCTGAGGAAGCCTGCCTGATTCACAGCATAGCTAGAGGAGTAGGTTGGTGGGGGTCCTGAATCAAGACATGCCTTAGCCCAAAGGAGGTTCTCTGGAGTGGGAACTGAACCTGGAAATGTGGTGGTCTAGAGAAACCTTCCTGAGTTGTGGCACTGCCTCCTGAAGAATGACTGTAGAATCTCTCAACTACAGGGAAGGAGCTGCATGTCCCCAGCAGGAGCTGAAGGGGATCTTAGGGAAAACCTTGAGAGGCCAGGAATGCAGTGGCAGAAACCCCTGGGTCAGTGGGAGGGTGACAGCTACAACCAGAAGCTCTGGAACATAGGTAAACCTTCAAGAAGGAAGAGGCCAAAGGACACTGCATTCTGTGAAACTTCATAGATTAGTATTATAAATTTGAGGGGATACTACTTTAAAGACTTACTGACAAGAACTCTTTTTTGGGAGAGATTTTTCTATGAGAAAGTAAACCCTAGCTTGCCCTTTCCTTCCAACAGCATTCTCTGTATGCATAATATCTGCAAGGAAGCAGTCCCAAGGACATGGGTTTGTACGCCAGGGAAGGAAAAGAGAAGGTCTGTATCCATAAGTTTTAGAGCAATTCCTAAAGATCCTAGTAAGTTCCAGAAAACTGTCCCTAACAGTTGCAGTGAGGTCTGATTTGAGCCATTACTGAAATCATCATAACTCTGACATCTGTAAAATTACTTTTCTCCTGATAGACACTGGATGCATCTAAACGTGCAATTAATTCAAAGCAACAACTCTGGAGCAGTTTGAGCTGGAGTAAACTACTCCAGGAAGCAGCATCTACACGTGCACCTGGGACAGCAGCAATATGAGCTGGGGTAGAGCAGTTTATGCCAGGGCATTGGGCACAGAGGGTCAGTCCCAGGCTCTGGGTAATGGCATCAGGAGGTGGAGCAGCTGGCTGGAGCACAAGGGTGCTGCAAGTGTGGAGATATATGGTTAGGCAGCACAAGTTACACCTGTGGTCAATGTCTACACTTCCATTTAGTCACAGTTAATTACCCCAACAATACTATCTTAAGGCAGCATTAATTAGGGCCATACGAAGCTTCAGTCACTGATTCGATTTGGTGGAGATTCAGGCCGATTTGGTGGCCAAATCTCCAAATCAAATCAGGATACTCTTTAATCTCTCCAAATCGAACTGGAACCCTGCAAATTGATTCGGAGAGATTCAGAAAGATTCAATGATTCAGAGACAGACACAGCTTCAAAATGTTTTTTCTACATACCTCAAGGTACTAGGCAGCTTGTGAATGCTGAGATGCTGGGGTGGATTGAGTGTCCCACATGAGCGTGGGGGGAATCCCAAGCACTCTTGGCAGCAGACCCAGAAATGGACCAGAAGCACTTCCAGTCCACTTCCGGGTCCGCCAGGAGGCCCCCCTGTGCCCTCCAGGCTCTGCGACTCAGGCCTCCTGGGGTCCCCCCATGGCTCATCACTGAGCTGGGGGGGCATGGGTCCCCCCCCCACGTGTTTGGCGGTGAACCCAGAAGTGGACGGGAAGTACTTCTGCTCCACTTGCAGGTTCACTGCCGACCACACGGTGGGGCCCCCTACACTCCTGTGGGATGCTCCATCTGCCCCGGCATCACAGTGTTCACAAGCTGCACCTTGTGCGCACCTTGCCGCACCTTCTCTGAATCAGCATTGAATATTCAGATTTGGATTTGGCTGAATCGAATCAGGACAGTGATTCGAATCAACAAATCGAATCCAGCCTGTTTCACACACCCCTAGCATTAATTAGTTTACTGTGACCTAATACCATTGCACATGTAGATGGTGATGCTTTACTCCATAGCTAATTAGTCCACTCCACAGTTAAGCACAAGTGTAGATGTTGCCACTGACTAGCATATTTAATTCTCTCTCTTTTACTGAGTTTTGTTTGCAAAGGTAGTTTAATGTTGGTGTCAAACCTACTCTGCAAACTCCTTTTAACACCAAACTAAAGTATGACTGACAAACCTGTAAGGAAATATGCACATAGGAGCAGGGCCTTGTATCCATATGCATTCTGCACAAGGACAGTCCTATCATCTCCCCCCCACGCCCCCACACACACATGTATTAACATCTCATGCAGGATTAACTAATGAGCAGTTCAACTCTCTGTTGTGTATTAGTATACTTCTGAAACTAAATCCCTCCTATTTTGACAACATAACAGCAAGCTTTCTGTATACAGCATGCCTACATACAAATTACAGCTCCTGTTGCCTGGACAGTGTCACTGCAAGGAAATCTTTGCTTGGGCTCAACTGCTGCTGGTCACTCTATGGCTTCCCGTCTGACCCTGCGTCTGCCACCAATGAAATAAGCTCCATGCACTTGCTCTATTGGGCACTCCAGAGACTGGCAACGAGGCACAGCAGATGGCTTGCAGAGCTCTAAGTGCATTTCTCAGAGCTGTGCTCAGGCTCTCTTAGAAGAGCATCATTGAGGAGTGAACTCAGGTTGGCTCTGAGTTAGCTACTCCTTGATAGCTGTGCCCAACAGGAGAAAACAGGCAGGGCTTCTTTAAAAAAAATAAAATCAAAATCAGCAGGAGACACAGGGTTGGGAAGAAGCTGTATAAAGTGGCCTCAGCTGGTGGAGATTGAAGAAAACATTTATTCCTTAAATGTAAATTTCATGAAATAAAAACAGATCTTTAGTTTCAGATGAGAAGAAAACTTTACACTGTCGTGCCTACCATTTCAGGTGAAGGATCTCTCTCTGACAGAGTTCAAAGACACCAGGGACCAACTAGGACAAACTCTTGCTTTGTAAAATGTGTTAGAAGTCCACATTCCAACAAACCAGATCTAGGTAGTGCCTACATGTAGCAAAGCTTCCTAACTTTTTATCAGCATCCTAGGCCTCAGGCTACTTTTCATCACACATCCTGATCCCACAAGTTCTACTTGTATGGAAACCTCACTGATTGTTGGGAATCTCTCTAGGAACTCCAGATGTAGAAGACTCACAAAATGGGGCCTCTTTTGTTAGCACTTATGACCAAAATGTTTATGACTGTAGGAAATGTCCCGTGTTACTTTAATTGATCTCCTTCTCCATGAAGCCCTCACAGTCTCCATCTTTCAAGTGGTTACTAACATACCATTTAACAGACTGCAGCCAGACCACAGTCCTCTGCCTTTTGGGGTTCAAAGCTCAGGATCATACTGCTCCACACTCACAGTGCTCTGTGTTTATGTTCGCCCGTTACCAATTTAATACCCCAGTTAAATTCACTCTACAGTGCCTTTAAAAGTCAGCTGTAAAAGGCAGATCTTATTTGGTTTGTGCTCAATTCTGCTCTTGATGAAGCAGCCCCAACATTTTGTCCATAATAAGAAAACATTCCACTTGCTTTTACATCAGCAGAGTAACAATCCTTGTTTTCCAGATTTTACTACAGGACTTTCTGGAAAACTGGCCTGGAAGCTTTCTCGACTCCCAAAGGAAGGCACAGGGATGGTCAATCATTCACACAGATTCTCTCCCACTCACTTGTTATGAATGTAATTTAAATAAGTTTTCACTGAGAAAGAGAGTAACACTGAGTTTTAAACAGACAACATCTTTTACCTCATAACTGCTCACAGGCTTCAGTCTCTTGTGATATTTTAATCCTTCTAGACTCCAAGGAGCTCTACAGAATAAAGAGCTAAGTCAAGATCTAACTTCTCTGATGACAGAAGACGGTGAGGAAAACACTTTCGGAAAACCTCTAAGACTTTCTATACACCATAAAGCAGCAAAATAAAGGGCATAAACTTTTTTTTCTGCTTTCCAGGTCACCTTGCACCTTGTAACCATCTACCTTACAACATGTTTCTCCTGCATAAAAGGCCTAGCAATTACACTCCAAGAGTCAAGTTGCTGCTACTTCCTAGATGGTGTTGCAAATACTACTCATGCCTCAGGCAACAAGACAAAGACAACAACTCAGCACACAACAGATACATACTGTATCACACATTACCTGATTGCAGGGGACAATGCTTATTTAGGAGTGCTGCATCTCATAAGCTGAGGCTGAAAAAATGTTGCATCACTACATCTATTGGAAATCAGGTTATACTGTTGACAGTTTTGTTTTGTGTGTGAAACAGACAGGGAGAGGAAGAAGGGAGCCTTGCATATAATTTTGCTACTGCCTGCATTGTAAAAGTGAAGCACCAGCAGCGTCAGGGTAGACAAACCATCAGGGTACCCAGTATTTATTGCCAGCATCATGTTTTAAGACTGAGGACTACAAGGATCAGATACAGGTGGCCAGAAAAAGAACTGGAATCAGGGAAGCCCCACAGGTTTGACAGGAAAAGGTTAATACAGATTTTTTTTCAGGAATCTGCGTAAAACTTCTTGCTGAGCCAGTATTTTCCTGCATATGCCAGAGCTGCAAAGCAAATAGATAAATCAGTGCCTGTATAGGGGAGAGAGAAAAAAAAAAGATGTCTTCCAATTAGCACTACAAAAAAAGGGAGACCTGAGATTCCCTCAAGCGTAACAAACAGAACAGGTAGACATACAGCAAGTGACTCACCTCTTCCACGGTCCATTTGGCCACATGCTTGGCAGTAAGGCCTGAAACCTCTGGTAGCAGCTTGCAGTGCTGCTCCCAGCAGAGATGGAGGCGGTGGGTCGGGTTAGAGGACAGGGAAGGCATGAAGACAGACTGATGGAGGGCCTGCTGCAGAGTGAATTCTGTGTCTGGAAAAAGAAACAAGAGGAGCCACAGTCAGTTCTGAAACAGGAGCAGGAAAAAAATGGTGAGGGGGGAGGGGGAGAAGAGCATTTAGGAAGCAAAGAGAAGGTGGAACAAGCACACGCAGTGCTGTGACATGGCACGCTGTACTCAGAGCATGTCCCCCCAGAAAGGAAAGGAAAAAACCAAAACAAAACAAAAAGGTTGCCAGGCTGAAGGCTTTATTATTAGCTGCTTCTAGGGAAAATGATGTCATGCTGCTGACAGAAGATGTTTGCTTTTTATTGACAAGGTGGACGAGTTCTGGTAACAGCATCTTCAGCTGGAAATAAATGGCACCGTTCCAGTTCACAGCAAGTAACCAACTACGCATGCCAGCTGATGGCCTGCGCCGAATACCCTCCTGCCCCCACTAAGAGAAGCTAAGGCCTGTAAGGCTGGTGGTTCCCCCCAGACACCAATATTGTTTTCCATTTGTCAAAAGACGCTGTTTTTATAAAACAAAGCTAGCTCCCTCCCAAATGAGATCATTCGATTAGAGCAGAATCATGATCCGATAGGGATTTGTCTGGTAATACAACAGGAAGTGAAGCAAAGGATAGAAACAACACGGAGCACGTTCTTATGGTTTCAATAGTTAATGTTTCTCATCCCCTTTCCTCCCCCTCCAAAAGACACAAAAAGGAGGCATTTCTAAACACTAGAATGCTTCCTGTGAAATGATCAAGTTATATGGTGCCACCATGTGGCAATGAAGAATTATGTTTTGCTACTTTATAGGCAAGAAAATAAAAGCAGAGTATAAAATACAGTTTTCATCCTTGTCTTCTCTCCCCCACCAAAAACATGACTAATAAAATTATTAGGGTAGTGCCCAAGGGCTGACATGAACAGGGCCCATTAGTGCTAGGTTCTGTACAAGTACAGAGTGGGAGACACACCCTGTCCAAGGACTGTGGCGAGGGGCAGAAATGACATGCAGAAGGAGCAATGTCATGGCAAGAAGCAGAATATTCCATGATTCTTGAGGGTTTGGTTTAGCTAGGAGGGGATCAGCTAAATAGAAAGGCAAGGGATGGGGGTGAGAGTGTGGGAGTCAAACTGATATGAAAAAAAAAAAATGGATGGGGAAAGGGTTGCAGAGTAAACAGTTTTCAGGATGTCCAAAGTATCTTGCTTTGGCTATTTCTACTTGTACCAGGCACTGCCCCCGGGCATCTTTTCTCTGCAGTCTTCTCTTAGGGCCATATGGCAGAGGGGAGAGGCAAGGACCCAGATAAGTCCTGGGGTCCCTATAATCTTCCCTGCACAGTTCCGGGTGTGCTAGAAATTAAACTCCTGCATTTATCCACAGAAGAAACGCAGCTTCCCTTCCTTTGCCCAGCCAATGTATCCCACCCCATTCTGAATGGACTACTTTTGACTAGAAGAGACTTTGGACTTCATGGAGCATTTACTGCTTGCCTTCAGATGGTGATGACTTGCATTCTCTGCTACTTAGGCTGAAGTCAATTAAAACCCTAGGAGGAACAGGCTGTATATGCTCAACCAATTCCAGTGAAAGGGAGGGGAAGGGGAAGACTAACAGGATCTGTCCAATTCCAACTTCCATGTTAACACTTTGAAGTTATTCCAGTGTACCTTTTTAACCTCCCAGTTCTCATGGCATCCTTAGGTCTAATCAGTACTCCTTTCTTTTTGCCTTGCCTTTGGGCTAGCCTAGCAGAATACAGATCACACACACAATCCCTGCACTGCCCACTTCATAAGACAATTTTCAGCAAATGTTTTTGCAATGTCAGACTGCTAGGTGTTCCCTTCCTCCCACCAACCACAAGAGGAGAGGAAGAAGCAGGAGAGGGTAAAAATGTTCTGCCTTTTCAGTGCTGCCAAGACAGACTGATAAAAAATTATGAATCAAACCTTATAATGCAACATCAATGCATGATGTTCTCAGTATTGTGCCTCCAACTACATTTTAAAGCTGCAGGGAAGCAGAAGGGTCAGCAAATAAATTTAGGGACCATATACTGCACTGGAAAATTCACTGAAGGACAGGAGACTACAGGGGAAAAATCACTAAGAAAAAGATGGATTAACAGGAGAAAAAGCTCAAACGAGCTTCTTTACACCGCAATCGTAAAGAAGAAATGGCAATCTTCCGAGATCTCCAAGCCTTTTTCCCAGGCCATGGGAAAACATTGCAAGATGTAAAACGTAGCCCAGTACCAGTTGATACTGGCTTCACTATTAGATACAGAGACCAAAGGGGAAAGATACAAAAATAAAGGCAGGTCCAAGAGCGACTAAGAATTTCTCTTCATATAAGGGAAAATGCTGAAAGGAAAAAAATACTCCATAAAGTAGAGGACTGCACAAGAAGTAACCAACCCAAACTATAAAGAGGCTGGTTTATGTCCTTTCTGAGGTGAGAAAGGGGAAACTATTTATAGTCATAACTACACCTCTTCCTCCAGGGACTGTGGAATAACCTCCAGAAAGGAGCATATTAAAAGCACTACACTTTGGAAAAAGTTTCAATTTCTAGACAAGCAAAGCATAGATTAGATTTTGGGGATAATCCTGTAGAAGGGGAGAAGGGGGAGACTAACAGGTTCTGTCCAACTTCAACTTCCAAGACCATAAGATTCATGCTAACACTTTAAAATGCAAAGCAATATGTAACATGTTTCAAAACCTATTAACATAATGAGCAGCATGACACTGTTAAAAATAACCTAGACTCACTCTTCTCACTTAAATTCTTGAAAACTTTACAAGTGGGAGATTGAAGTTCCTCAGATTTGTGAACAATCCTTTATTTTTCTAGCATCTTTTAAAATTTTTCTGTTGTGCCCACTATTTCCCCCTCATTATTTCTTTTTCACTCATTTCAAACAGGCTGTTCCTTCACCCTTTTGTCTCTTCGGTCTTCACTGCTGTTAAACTTTTACGCTTTTCATTATACCTTTCATTATCTTGGGTGCATGGCAAGGGAAAGGGAACATGTACATGTCTGCTCCTAAATTTATAAGTGGTTGTGAAGTGCTGTAAATACCACTGAGGAGCAGGAACTGCTCAGGGGGATAATCACTAGGAATAATCAAAACAATTTTCTCTTTGCTTAAACTGACTATTGTTGGAAAGCTTCTAACTATGACTTGAGGTGGTTATTTCACAACTGACAAGTGGTGGAACCCCTACTGTTCTAATTATTTAAAGTTAGATGAGACAAAAGCCTGGAACAATACACTGTATACCAGTGTACTGAGAGGCCAGCAGATGGCTGCAGATGGCTTATTAGAATTTTCTCTGTAATACTCATGATTCTGTTTAAGGTGAGTGTAAGTAGAACAGGTACATTTTTTTCCTTAAGGCTAGAACAGACATTACTGCTGCTGTGTTGCCATACCTGGAAAGGTTATGTAACCATGACCACAAAAATGAGCAGGAAGTAAAAATGAATTAAGACTAAAGGCAGGCACTTGCCCCAATTTGTTCCTGCTTAGCTATTTTGGATTGGAGACTTATTACTAAAAGCTGGGTCAGCTTGGTTATCTGAACTGGCTTTTTATAGTAAAGCTGAAAGTTAAACATGTGGTTTGCCAAAATACATCCAGTGAGAACCACTTTAAGATTAACTAACTGTGTTCCAGAGGAAACATTCCACTTTCTACCCTGCCCTGATACTCTCTTGCTTTCTAGATGTCAGGAGAGTTTTAAATGCCTGGAAAAAAAAAAAATCACTGAAGCAATTCTAAACTGCTGCCATATGAAGACTGCCTGATGTGCTTCATAGGAAAGGGCTTGGTGGGCCTTAGTCCAGCTCTCACAGACAGATGTTCACCTGAAAGCTAGGACCACAATAAAGAGTAGCAATTGGCTCCCCTGTTGGCTGCCTGAGCACAGAAGCTGAGGACTGAATAAGGAAATCAACCCCCCCTCACCATTAGAGATTGGTTTCTTCAAAAAAGGAAGAGAGTACATCCACAGGGAAAACTTCCTTTCTTGCTAACGTTTTGCATGGAGAAGACATAACACTCTAAAGCTGTTTACAGACATTTAAAAAAACCTAAAACCCCCCCCACACTTTACCAGAAGAAACAGCATGTTAGTTTGACCCGATCCTGCAGCATCTGTACAGATTAGGCACTTTAGTGGGGCTTTTTGGAGCTTTATCCAATACCTGATAGAATCAGCTATTAGATAAAAGTGCCAAAAAAGCCCCACTAAAGCACCTGATCTATACAGACATTGGGTGACCCGGGTCCAACTAACATGATGCCTCTTCTGGATATAGGCTGGGCTCAGTGTGGGAGCACACCAAGTTTAGAGTGCCATTTTTTGGGGTGGGGGTTAACGCTTCTAAGTAGCCTAAAGCATTAAGTCTAATTGATTAATTAATTTAACTGAGAGCGTGAGGAAAGAAAGGTAAGAGAGATCTAGAGTGTAGCATGCATTTGACATTTCTGGCATAATTCACCTGAGTAAGGAAGCAGGCTTAAAAAAAAAACATATGGTAACAAGTAGTCTGATAGGTTTGATAAGTGCAACACACAAGCAAAAAAATAAAATAAAATAAAATAAAATAAAATTCAACCAACCATTTCCATAGTCTTCCTGCTTCACCAGCTGGAACTTTATATAGGCATGTTGGGAACCAAGCCTGAAAAAATAAAAGTTTTATAAATGTAACAAGGCACAGACCATAGAGATCAATGCTCCTCTACATGGAGCATCAACAGGATTCTTTTAAGAGTCCCAAGATCTTTTTCCTTTTAAAACTGGCAATAACACCACTTATTTCTCCTTTCACCCCTCTCCAGATCTCTTCCGAGTAAGGGTTATGCTGCTAAATGCACAGCAAAGAATGTGGATGTAAGTACACCACAGGCAATGGAAAGACACTGGATGCATCTTCACATGCAATTAGCACAGAGCAAAACTCCAGTATAAATGCTGCACCTGGGAACACAGCACACTGAGCCAGGGCAGAACAGCTCTGGCTGGCAGAAGGCCTGGGGTGGGGAAATCAGTCTGCCAGCCCAGGACTGCTCCTCCCCAGCTCAACATGCTGTGGGAAATGACGGAGTTACAGTGTGGGGCTAGCTGGCAGGCAGCCCCTGTACTGTAACACCCTCCTGACCCATCCAGCCCTGGTCACCATCTACATGTCCATTTTGGCATGCTGAACTCCGCCGTAGGACAGTATTTGTCCCATACAGTACTTAATTAATTTACTGTGCCCTAATAGGGGTGCATGTATAGACAGTGATACTTTGCTGTGGAGCTAATTAGTCATCTCTGCAGTAAAGCACATGCGTAGATGAACCCACTGCCTCCCAAAGAAGTGAGAAATGCTGTTACTCATTATTTCAATCACACAAAATTGTAAACTGTGTGGCACCTGGATGTTTTACAAAGCCACTGCTTCCCTCCCTCATTTCAGACAGGGCTGCAGTAGTGGAAATGTAACTGCTGGTGCATTAAAACATGCTGCAAAGTCTTATTTACTTTATTTGTTTCACTTTGGTATCTGTAGATGATTCCTCTTCCACCCAGTCTTTCTCCTGACTGTTTTCGGACTGCTCTGACAGACTATGGACACTGCTTCGACCAGATCTTTCAGCATCTTGCACAGAAGATTTTCTATAGAGACAATAAGCCAGGTTCATTAAACTGGAAGGCACCTCTTTCCTCCCTGCAGAAAGAGGAATGTTGATTATTGTTTTACTTGTAAAGAAAGTTTGAGTAATAATAGCTCCCAGGCACCATCTAGTGGTTTAAAATGTATTCTCTCTTCTAATTATTACTGATGCAGTACACAATGCTTTATGCTTTAGTCCTTAGTGCTGATGCAGAGATTACGTGAAAGAAATCAGCCTCTGCAGCTGAGGCTCTGAATTTAGCATCAGCCAGGAATGCACTGAAGCATTCGTTTTAGTGCATCAAAAGATTTAAGGATTTTTACACTTTGATACCTTTGGATAACATTTAAAAGACTTTCCAGGACTAAGTGTGGTGCATAGAGTGAGCTGCGGCAGGTGTGCAAGGCAAGAGGAGGCAGTGGGGCACTCTATGATTTGCACCATAGAATTCAAATTTCCCATTAATCAGAAAATTAAGTATTTAAAACAACAGTACATCACATCTGTAAAGTATTTTGTAACCTAAGGATTCCAGAAAAGAGATGTACAGAATCACTGAAGCGCAGACACCTCTGCGGTTGAGGATGCCAAGTAGGATCAAAGCACACTTCTGGGAGAAAAAGGAAAATTTTGGCCAAAGCACGCAAAGGACAAGTCCTCTTCTTACTAAAGATGCCCTGACCTTTTTAAAGTCTAAGCAGAACAAAGGGGAACAAAAAACAAATACACAATCAGTGTGGCTAGAACGCACCTTGCTGAGATCTTTATCTATGGCTCCATAGGCATGTAATGCAATAAAACTCTTAATACTCAGTTTGGCTTAGTAATATATTTTGGCTGATCCCTGCATCCAAGAGGTTGATGCATACATTTTCCTCAATGATACTCAACTCTCAGCAACAGCTGAAATTCAGATCTGCCAACCTGAAGATTGTCAAACTACACAACAGGCTATATCTGGGGTTCTCAACCTTTTTAGACTCACGACACCTTTCGGAAGATATCAACTTTTAGCTTTCACATTTTTTACTATACAAAAATAATAGAGCAATTCTGCTGCTGCAAAGAACTCAGAAAAACCACAACAGACAGAATGTTTTTGACACTATGAATTTTTATTTGAAATCTCTGGGTTTATCTGATGAATCAGGTTTGCATGCTTAAGAGTGCTAGCATTACATGCTAACCCACATCCCCCTTAAAAGGGTCTCAAGGCTCTCAACAGTGCTGCAGTACCCTGGTTGAGATTCACTGGGCTCTACATAGCAACATTATTTTACCAACCAAAAGAAAAGCAGACTAATCTGGGGTGGAATGCAGCAGTAGTGCACAGAAATCCTGCTTGACAGTTTTAGGACAGGAAACTAAGAGAACTCCTGTAACTCAACAGAAAGGGCAAGGGAAAATTTATAGAGGTAGAACGTAATTTCCTTTGCTGGAATTTGACCAGGGCAATAGGATTAAAGAGGAAAGAAATCTATTAAGGCATGTAAGGAGCATATAAGTGCATTGTTCTACACTGGGGTTATTCAGGGTATGGGTCAATAGCCTACGGAGATAAAGCTAGTGCTTTAACTACTTCTCTGTCAAATGCCAGGACTTTCAGTCTTCTGAAATAATGCATACCATAGGTATTATTAGCAGAGTTCCAATAAGCAAAGTGATAACGTCAGCCTCACCTGGATAGTGGAGAGTCTTCCTGAGGGTCTACGAATGGTATAGGAGTCTCTGGTCTCTTGGATTTCTGAATGCTATTGCTGGATGAAGGCCTCTCCCCACTCAGGCGATCCTGTAATGAGCTCTCCCTATTGAGGTTAACTTCAGAATATGGGAACCCTACTAGCCTGCATGGAGAGAGAGAGAGACTTGACTTTTTAATCCTTTATAAAGGTGTTAAAACAAAAGATGAAAGTGCAAAAGTGTGTGGCTCCTTCTAGGAGCCATGTATGAAATGCTTTTCAGTAATAAAGGGCATTTATAGACATGCTCTGGGAGGCAGGGGGCAGAGGAGGGGCACTTTAATTAGAGCAGCTCCAAGAGCCACATTAACTAAAGTGCCCAGAATGTCATGTGTATCAGCGTCCCCACGCTGAAAATGGCAGCAGGGCATTTTGAACTAAAACTCATCAAATGAGCTTTAGTTTAAAGTGCCCTGCCACCATTTTTCAGTTCAGGGATGCTGATACACATGACGCTAGTCTGCCAAAGAGCAGTAATTATCACGCTCCGAGGCACTATTATAACAGTGCATTGGAACAGCCTCCCTGCACATGTATAGGACCCCAAAGTATCTGTAAGACCAGAGGTTGAAACTCCCTTCCTCTGTGTGACGGAGTGACCCAGGGAGAGGGTTCTGCCTGGCGCCACTCTTTGAGATGGAGCCCAAGGCCAGCGGCTGAGCTCCAGTACAGCAGAGTCCTGCAAAGGCAGGACTTCAGAAAGATTTACCTGCAGGGATGCAGCAGACAGACTGGGAGCAGCAAACCCTGGTACCGTGGTGTTTTATTAGCTCCTGTCATCTGGCTGGCAGTCGCCCAGTGGATGATGTGAAAGGGCTGCGCTGAGCCGGGAAATCGAAAGAAGGCATGGGTCTGACAGAGAGAGCGGGAAGAAGGGAGGCCGAAATGAGCCCAGTAGACCCGCATTTATCACTGGGAGAGGGCCCTGGGATGAAAAGCCAGGGTGAAGAAGGGGCGTGGATCACTAGCAGAGCCGGGAAGCCTAGAGGTCTGTGAGGAAGTCCCTAGGCTCGTAGGCTTGTGCACTCGGTGTTCCACATGGTCCTGTCTTGAGGTAAGGACAAGAAGAACCATTAGGACAGGGAGGATTTGGGATATAGCCATAGCCCGAGAGGTGTTGGGCACTGGGAAGGGGTTGCACCTAAATAAAAAGGGCAACCCAGTTTGTCCGGAGGGACACAAATCATTTTTGGATGATTACTTTCCTGGGCTGGACTTGAGAGTGGAGACACCCCATCGCCGATAGCACCTGTGCTGTAGGACCCTGACATTGCTAACCAGGGGAACCAGGCATACTACAACACCCAGCTGGCATGTGGATGGGGGGTAGGGGAATTGGAGCCTTAGATCACTAGGACCTTGCACTGTGAGTAACCTTGTAGGTCACCCAGAAGACGCCACTGACTCCACTTTATCTTGATATAACAATTAAGACATGGCAGGAGAGTGGGAGGTGCCCTTCCTGCGGGGCAGGTAGACCCCTTCACGGAAGTCGTCCCCATGACACTCTGCAACATCCGTCATGGGGTTACACATTTAAGATTAGCTGTCCATCTTCCACCTTGGAGTGTCCCCTTGATGGCCCAGTACAACAAACTGGTCCATGGTCTCATAGTTGGTAGGGTTGGAAGAGACCTGAGCAGATCATTAAGTCCGACCCCCTGCCATGGGCAGGAAAGAATGCTGGGATCAAATGACCCTGGCTATTGTTGCAAGGTGAAGTGTCCAACTCAAATGAAACATGTGCCTGGGGAAAGGAGAGGGGAAGACAGAGAAAGACACAGAGAGAGAGACAGAGATACAAGTTTTATTAAGTCATATAGTCTCTACCCTTCACCTTCTCCTAAGCAAAGGTGTATTCACTTGTAGCCTATTTTGGGATGCAGCGAGGGAGAGTGGATAGTCAAGAGATCCCAGAGGAACAGAGAATAAGTATGTTTGGCACCTGCATGTCACATGCATGCTGTAATGAGCAAAAGTGTATTATTTGGCAAGGAAAGGTAAACCAGGGAAAGAAACTAGTAAGAAGAGTATGCTCTGAGTTGCACTGGTCACTTCAATGGATTGACATCTATGTAAAAGAAAGCAGAATCTGTTTTAGAATCCAGTGTAGAGATCAGTGATGGAAAAAAACCAAAACCGTTAAAGCAGAATTGCAAGGAAGGATTTAAAAGAGGCGAGTGAGGCCACAGAGTGCGCAGGGTTGAGAGTGTGTTTTTAAAGCACAAAGCAGCATTGTATCTTTTGGGAAAATAAGAGAACAAGAGCATCAAGATAAGCTAACCTGGCACTGAGCTGAAACCACACTGTCAGAGTACAAAAGAGTAAACTTCTTTACAAGTGAGTGAAATTACAGGGTAAGCTTTCTGGACTGCCCCTCTCCATTATGGATTTCACCAGCATGACTGCTCTAGTAGAGAAAAACATTTTATGAAAACTAATGCATTAAGGCTCAAAATTTATCTGGGAGGCAAATATTATAACTCATTTCAGAGACAGGAAACCAAGATACAGTCTAGTGGATGAGCTAGCATTAGAAAACAAGGTCATCGGACTCCTAGACAGCATTGCTGCTTAATAGCGTAATAAGAACAACTATCCATTTAGCCTCCTTGTCTCTGCAGAAATTCATATGAAACAAAAACAAATATTTAACAACTCTGTTGTACTTTCCAGTTTAGAATTTCAAAGCATTCTACAGACATTAAGTATCTAATCCTTGCAACCCTATGTGAGGTAAGAAAGTCAAATCACACTTCACAGAGAAAGCAAGCCAAACACAGAGTTTAATTTCACTATACTCTCACAGGAAGTCACCAGCAAAGCATGAAATTCGACCCTGTTCTGCTAACATTTGCACTTTAAAAACTATGCCATGCTCTCCCTCTCTCTTCATAGTCTTTTTCTTGTGTTTTGCTCTCAGAGACCATATATTACAAAAGAGACCACTTTAATGATGGTGGGTGGTAGAAACCAAAGTGAATTGCTAATAAGGCAGATATCTGTCTAGTTTAACATTGCAATGCAATCTCTCTTATGGTACTGGTGCAAACAGAATCATAGTAGAGTACCATACTCAGGCATGAGAGGGAGCTGCAGTCATAGATATGACAGGACCTTCCACAACATTTCCAGTTCAGTACAGGTGGGTTTAGCCATACCATCACCATGGACATCAACAAGAGTCAAGAAGCTAAAGCCCTTCTACAAAGCATGGAAAATTATTCCTTGCGTTCCCTGTACACGTACGTATAATGTGTTCCATAGCGCGGTCCTCTGACATGACCAATACCCTGACAGCCAGGGGTAGGGCACCCTTGCCCGACTGTTCCCATTGTATCAGCAGCACCTAATAATGAAAACAGTTAAACAAAATCTTGTAAAAGGTCCCATGCATTTGAACAGATCAGAGAAAAGAAATGTAAATGTAAACACCCAAAGCTGCCCTGCTCACCTAGCGGAACCTGTAGAGCATGTCCAGTTTTTGCACACCAGCCTACTGGGTGAATATCTGGGCTGTCTGAATCAACCCAGAAATCATAGTTACGGTCCCACCCATCAAAATGGACCTAAAAGAGGAGCAAATAATCACACAAAGAACACCAGAAGTGAGAGATACAGTTAAGGTATCCAGATATGACTCAGCTTTCACTTTAACTTGTCCCTTCCTCCTCAATTTTTATAAAAAATTCTATTTGCAGCTGAAACATTGAATGCTGTTAAAGTCACATACAATCTCCTCCTTTTGTGTGTTCAGCATAACTACTGTATCTGTTTTTGCTTGCTTCTGTGGTTACAAAAAACAAAGAGATCCAGCTAGCACAGTCAAATCATAGGGCCTACAATAAAGCATGGAGTACAGGGATGTTAAATCATAGTCTTTAAATTTGGTTTAAATGTTTGCAAGCTGAATCACTTCATTACTTGACCTGTGCTCCAGAATTCCAAAAATATTATTAATGCCAATAAGTTAGTCCAGTTCTATGCACTGAAATAACTAGAGTGTTTTGACAGGTCAAAGGGCTGATAATAGAACGTAAATCACTTCAAAATCCATGTTGCCAGTCCAAATTCAGAGTGAAGCTACAGCTATTTAAGTTGTTATGATCTCATGGATGCTTAGTAGGCCTCTGCGAAGCAGCAAATATTCGCTTTGGATTTGGCTGATTTGGATGGACAGTGATTCAATTTGGTGATTGTATTGGGACAGCAATTCAAGATATCCAGCCAGAGACTATGCAGGCAGTCCTCGATGATGCTGGACACAGCTGCCTTCCGTGCAGATTTGGGGCCACATGCCCACTCCCATGTCCTCTCGGACCAGCAAGCCACCAGAAGAGCACTCCCAGACCGGTGGCACAGTGGCAGGGGCCCCTCTCCCCAAGTCTTGCCCCCTCCGGCTGGGCAGCTTGTCCCAGCTCCAGCCCCAGCCCCAATCCCTCCCTCGCTGTGGGGGCATTGATCTGCGCCCCCATGCTCTTTCCTTCTCCCCTCCGCCCACCACAACAGACTTACCAGCTGGAGGCAGCTGTGTCTAGCATCATGGGGGGACTGCCTGTATACGTAGTCTATGGCCGAATCTCCGAATCTCTCCAAATCTCTCTGAATCAATTCGGAGGCTTCCAATTAGATTAGGACCTTTTAATGGGTTTCCCGATTCGATTCGGAGATTCAGCCACCGAATCGGACTGAATCTCCTTCAAATCAAATCGGCCACCAAAGCTTCACACAGCCCTAATGCTTAGTGGTTTATGTGACATGAGCTGACTGGAAACTCTACCATGACAGTCAACATATGACCACCCTTCCTGGGTTGATCATGCCAGTTTACCTGGCAAAACACGATTCTCATTAGTGTTCTCAACAGAGAGAATTTAATGGGCCAGGGATACTGAAGTCTACTCCTCACCTAGTGGCAGTCCTTCTACCACAGGAGGACACACATGGTTAAGAAACCTCAATTGCTGCTCTACCTGTTTTTGTAAGTTGACATTCAATCTCCAGGACAGAAACCAGCATCTTTCACCCTCTATATATTCACAAACTCAAAAGGCAAGTTAAAATGCATTTATGCACTGGTTGCATGTTGGTGAGTGAAGCTATTTGCCATATAAACCAGACTTAACCTGATTTTGGGTTTTCCTTTACAGTTCACCTTTAAAAAGTGAGCACAGAATCTACCAATGAACTTCCCATTAACAGTAAATAAATGCTCCCTTCATTCACATAGCTTTTTCCTCCTCATGACCAAATCCTGTGTGAATAGCTTTGCAAATTTCATTTCAAAATAAGTTAAATTAAAAGAGTATCTAACAATGTTGAGCGGTAACAAAAGAACTCACCTGAGGCAAACAGCAAAACACCATTTCAGACTCAGACCGGTTTGTTTTCTATGCTTCATGTGTGTATGGTTTCCACAGCAAGGGCACGAACTAAACTTATTCTGTGCCTCAGATCAATAGCATTTTTAGATGGAAGGGTAGTTTACTTAGCTTGAAATGCATACCTTAATCCGATGGTCCTCCTTGTCAACAATTGTTGCCACTCTTATTAACTTGGGATTTCTCTTGTCCACAGCCTCTAACTTCGTATTAACCTGAAACTCATGGGCAGGACGCTGTAAAAGAAGATTATAAATAGACTGAAAAGTCCAGGTATCATATAGAACTAGTCATTTTTATTTTGGACACAATATGTAGGTTCTTCCATACATCCATAAACAACCCTTTGTAACTTTTGTCCTCAATCTTGCATGATGCTGACTGCTTTTGAGGTCAAAATCAGATTTTCTGAAGAGCTGTGCTAGTAGCTTGCTAAAAGCCAGATTAGAGATGCACCGATACATCGGTCCGATATCAGATTGGTACCGACATAGAGAAAATTGGCTGTATCAGAAATCGGCCCAATTTGCCTGATAACTTGCCCGTGCATGCGTGTGCAGCCGCAGCACAGCACTCAGGCAGCGAGGAGCACAGTGTGGAGAGCTGCCTAGAGCTGGTAAGTCCATTGTGGTGGAAAGGGAGGAGGGAAGAAAGGGGCATGGAGGGGCAGATCAACTCCCCCCTTCCTCCTGTGGTGAATGGAGGGGACAGGGGAAAGGGTAGGGGCAGGTGCTGCTCAGCTGGGGTCGGACGGGGTGCAGGATGGACCCACAACTTGTCAGGGGGGAGAAGAGGGGCTCCTGCTGTTATCCGTACCCTGGGAGGGCACAGGGGGCATGTGACCCCCAGATCTGTGCAGGGTGGGACAGGGCAGGACAGGTGAGCTGCAGCTGCTCAACAGGAAGAGCTGGGACTGTGCTGGGCGCGTGGCAGCAGCACTGGGAGGGAGTGAAATTTGGGGTGGCTGCAGCTTCGTCTGTAGCCCTCGCCCCTCACCCAGCCCCCAGTGAGAAGAGTCCTGCACAGCCCCAGCTCCAGCCTGCAGCTCTCCCCCCCGCCCCCTCCTCCTCGACAAGCTGCAGGTCCATTCTGTGTCCTGCTCTACCCTGTGCTGGCTGGGCAGCACCTGCCCCTGCCCCCGTCTCCCCCACTCCTCCTCCTCCCATGCCGCTTCCTTCCCCCCTCCCCTTCCAACACAACGGACTTACCAGCTGCAGGCAGCTCTCCACGCTGCATCGGAAATCAGATTGGTATCGGTCAATATGCCTCCTTAAAAAAATCAGATATCGGTATTGGCCCCAAAAATCTCTATTGGTGCACCCCTAAGCCAGGCTCAGTTGGGCCAATACAGAGGACCCTTTCACAGTCCATACCAGTGACATGTATTTCAAAAAAAGGGGATAAAAGTTTAAAAAATGAGAATTGTTAGTATTGCTCTGGCACAAAGGCCATTCATCACCCCAGGTCGTTTGGTTGAATTTCCATATGTACTGGGGCATGATTTTGACACTTCATCAATAATTCAGAATATATTTTTCAGAAGATTTTAGGCAGACTATGCATTATGTCAGTGTGCTTTATATACAGTTGGCATGCAGCTTGGGGGAAGATCACCATGTTGCTCCCTTTCTGTGGTTGAAAGCAATCCCTTTCTACCAGCATTAAAATGACTTAAGTTTTTGAAGAAACATGCATAATGTAGCCTTCTTTCCATCAGGATTTTGCAATCTCGAGTTAAGCCTTTAAATACCACACAGAACCACATCCTCCTAAGCTTTCATTTCACCAGTGGACTGGAAAATGCTAGTGATGTAACATTATTGCAGCATGGTTTTTATTTTACATCAAAAGTAAAATTCCATCTTATCTGGGACTTTTCATTTTAGGCCTCCCCCCATCTCAAACAGTCTTTCCAATGGGCATCCCCTACCTCAAAGTGAACCTGAGGCAGATCAGATCTTGGCTTTGAGCCTGGGTTTAGAAATGCCCCTTCTAGAAAAACTGCTTTCAACCTGGAAAAGTTTTAATTCTGTCTAAGTTTTAAAATGCCACTCAGCTCAAAATATTTCAAGCAGAACCCTAGTATCAAATGTAGGAATTTTTCACAGAAACACGTTCTTTCATTTTAAACTAGGTAGCTAGAGAACAATAACCAAACCTCTTCTGCCCCACTGCAGAACTCATGGGCTAATAAGACACCTTGTTCTCTAATATCCTTCTATTGAAAGCTGCTTTCTGTAAAAATAAGGATGTCAACCTTATAACACTTGAAAAAGCACGGAAGGAAGAATGGATGGTCCTGGAGTAAGTTTACCAATTTCTTCATAAGAACTGTGTAATTTCTATATCTACATTATTGCTGCTCTTTCCAGAGTATGAGAGAAGCCCTATCTGAGGCTCTGAACATCTCTGCGATATAATCGCATATATATATATAATCGCATATATATATCGCAGAGATGTTCAGAGCCTCAGATAGGGCTTCTCTCATACTCTGGAAAAAGCAGCAATAATGTAGATATAGAAATTACTCAGTTCTTATGAAGATATATATCTTTATTCCTCTCGAAGGCCTCCTCACATCTAATTTACGCATTTCCCTTCTAGAGGATATTGTTTTTGTCCTTTTGGTTGAATCCAAACTTCCTATTACATGAAGAACAGTCTAGGGATGGATGCCAGATTCATTCATAGAACTATCTTCTTTGATTAAACATGTAACCAAGGTTTCACTGTGAGCATGCCAAGATCTGAAACCCTCTTAGATAAGGATGTAACAAATAGACTGGATGCTTTCATTTAAGCAGAGGAAGAACCTACCAACCATGAAGTTGAGATGTGTTTTTTTAGACTTTAACTCACTGATCAAGATCATACTGGATCTCCTTACTGCCAGAGTGCTCATAAAAATAATGGTCCTCAGGAAGAATGTTACATGATGATGACAAGATTCTCATGGTGCTTTAAGAACAGCTACTGTCCACATGGACAACTTGTTTTTCCAAAAAGCACTGCCCTTAAGCCATGGTCAAGATATTTTGTAAAACTACTAAAAGATCCCTTTCTTCAGGTGACTTGCATTAGAGCAAGTCCTGCAGTAACTGCCTGTATGCCTGATTTTCTCCAAAGTAACTTGTGACATTGTAGACCTCAGTGGAAGAGAGCTAAACTGCCATGGGTTAGCTTCTATTTATTGCAAGGTTAGAGTGCACACCAGAACAGTTGTCATGGAGCAGAGAATGTGCAATAAATCCCCATCTGCTTTTACCTTGTAGCAGCTTGTGCTCATGCCCTCAATGACTGGGGAGAGGTATAAAGGAGCCATTCAGCTCACCTGTGAGATAACGGGCCCCACAATCTCTGCTTTTAATATGCCTTTCTCATGTAATGCTTCTTCTGGATTTCTCATTAGATGCAACTAAGTGCATCTGTAGACTTCCAGCCTGGCTTGTGATGCACCAGAAGGCTGCTGTTCTAAATTAGATGCCTTTGGTCTTACAGGCATCATTGTTGAATCACCTCACTCTGACTTTCCCTCCTGATGTACAATTACTGAGCATTAAAGTCTTTTCCCGGGATATAAATAAACTGCTACTTCTCCAAGCAGTTGGTTTTCTGCCTTTTCAGCAGAAATTAAAAATTAACAAGAGACTTCCACAATAAGCAGCTATATCCAGTACTCAGGCTGAGAATGCAGTTTTCAAGTTTAGTCTGAATACCCTCTCATCTATGGGTTCACACCAGGAACACTCCTTCAGCTAGTTATCTTGTCCATTACTGAGGAAACAGAAGCAGGATTGATCTTAGGCAGAGGAACACAAACCTTTTACTGCTTTGGTAAGGAAGATCTTTGACAGGAAATTCTCATCCCCCACCTTAATTGCACTATCATAAACCAAGTGAGAAAGAATTATGTAGCTCGTCTTCAACATTTTTGGAGAATCTCTCTCATGAGAGGTATAAAGACTTCGTTTTGTCCCTTCAAGAGCTAACTGTGACCCAAATACCCTGCATCAGTCCTGGGCCAAACCCCTGAAAGAACAGGGAAGAGGACTTATCAGATACTAAAAAGGCAGTTGGCGGGCATGTATCTTTGCACATTTTCCAAAGGAAAACACCATATTTTCTTACGTACAAGTATTATTTTCCCAAAATCCAGCTGTGGGAAACTGGAATGTGCATTATAATCAAGGAAATAGGGTAACAGCACTTTCTTCTGCCCAAGCCCCTGCAAGGGAAAGCAAATGTAAAACTGCCTATGCTTTAGGCAGGGCTCCCTAGCTGATAGCGGTGGACACTTCCCCCGGTTAAGGCTCTCAAGGATAGCTCTGTCTTTCAAAAACAAGCTGTGCATTTTATTTAGGGGCATGTTATAAAGAAGAAAATATGGTAATAGCCAGTTTATGACCCGTGGGACTACTGGAAGCTGGAAAGAGAAAGATCTTCTTCCCAGGGATGGAGATCTAAAAGTCATGCCATGTTCCCTACTACCAAGTTCAGGAGGAGTGGGGCCAGCCACACAGAACAGTAAGTGATCTGGAGCCACTGGACAAAAGGGTTTATTTTTATTAGGAAGGAAGCAATTTAACTAGTACCTTTCACATGAGCTGAGGAACTGCAGTTAACACAGTTCAAGGACAAGGGAAGCACAAGGCTATGTGGCCTCCTTAGATACCTCAGCAGACATCATGTTAATAGTGTGGCTGGATCCTGGCATCTTTTCTTCTGAGTTTCTATGGGGGGCACCTACCTTCACCCTCAAGATTCCCAGAGAAAGGAGGGTCCAGAGAAACACTTTTGTTTGAGCTTCAAACTATGGGAATGGGGGTCTCAAGCCCATGAAGGAGAGTCAGGAGGCTTTGTGGGGGAAACAAAAGAAAATTGTACACTTGGTTTCAGTCTACTAATTCCGGTCCTAAATAAAAGGAGTTTCCATGTATCCTGCTCCATCATCTCAGCTTGGACCATGCCCACATGCCAAGTGACAGCTTCCAGGTTGCATCAGGACCCCAAAGTGTAGGGGGCTGCTAACTCTGTCTGCCACTTCTGAGGCGAGATGAGAAGTTCTTCCAGCCCCTCTCAGAATGCCAAAAGAATGATTTTTAGTTAGGCTGTGAAGTCTTCCCAAAACTGCTAATGAAAAACCTGAAAAAAACAGTTAGTTAAAAATCTTTCTGAAATCCCATGAAAGCTCTGCTCCAAAGCGGGGCCTGGAGTCTGCCACATGTGCTGCTTCAAGGCACAGAATTCGGACCCATCTTCCTGAGCCTTCTAAACACAGGCTCAGAGCAAAGACCTAGTTTAACCAAGTTGACATGGATGCAAGGAATGCCTCACTGCTAAGGCTACCTGATCTGGAGGGAACCAAGCACTAGTCTCCTGACCTAGTGAGATAAGAGAACTTCACCAACCAATTTAAATGCTCTTGCTGGGGCTGCCTGGGAATTGGTTTCTTCCAAATATTTCTCCCACGAGAAGCTTTTGGAATCCTTATATTCTGTAAAAGATAAAAGACCATCTCAAGAACTAATCACAAGTTATAAGACAAAAAAGCTATGTAATATGTGACTATTCAGTGAATTTAGCATTCACAAGAGATGGCAGTTTGATATCCTTGTAGAACTAAGCTGTTAATTCCTACAGACAATTTATAACCCAGGCAGTGAGTTATAAAGCAAGTTTCCAGTCTCAAACCTGACCTGGAGAAACTGGAATAGTTTTTTTCTATATTAACCAATTCTTATATGTCAGCTGCCACTTAAGAGCTAATCATGTATTTTTGTAACGGGAACTGAGATGAAATAATCAAATTATTATTTTTTTGTTATTTAACCTATGTCTGAACAGCAGTCAGTTTGTAAAGACTTTCTGCTGCTAGCTAGCTACTAACTCACATGCTAAATGTAATTTAACAGATTGGAGGTCAGAGATTCCATTCTTCCATTACCGTACAGAACAGAAACAGATTTGTTGTACTGTTATAACAATGAAATGTATTGTCTTGTAGCAAAACGTTTAAAGATAATTTTAAAACATCATTTAATCTTGTTTCCTCCCCTCTGCCACCATCTCTACTATTCAAAACCTTCTCAGTAGTCTGAATTTGATGGTCTCAGTATGTTTCCCAATGGACAGGTATCCTATCACAAAAACATCAGAGCATGTGGCACACTGTGGGCTTCCTTTTTGACTATCTCAGTGACCACGACTGAATGGAGACTTGCACTACATTGTGAAGGCCATACGCATGATCACATCTACTATTTAACCTGTTAAGCAGATAAATACAGAACATCCTCTTTCTCACCTGTTAATCCAAAATTAAGTGGATTCTTTTTAAGCTTCTGCCAAAGCCTAAAGATAACCATGTTCTTCTACAATTATCATTGTCCTTTTGCTCGCATTCCATTTTACCTACTAAACTCCAATGCAATAAAAGTAAATATAACTACAATCATACTTTTCTTTCTGTTTTCCAGGAATGGCATATCTCCACCTTCAACGACATAAATACACATTCCTTTTTCTTCCAACACACCTTCAAGAAAATACTGTATCTACCACAAAACTCCACCCTTCTTCCCAATCTTATTCAATCCCAAATTATAAAAGCCTGTCCCACTGGCCTGAAAGAACTATTGAATAATAACTGGAGTTGCAATTCAATGAGTATTAACAATAACTCTGCTCAGCAAAGAGAGGAAAGTTCAACAGAATTGAACTCATAACTTGCAAATGCATAATTACATGGGAGATAGAACTTGCAGGTCTTTTGACTGAAGCAGGAAACACGACTTCCTTTCAACATACCAGGTGGTGTTGTCAGTGGGGTTCCAGTTTCTTGGCAGTAACCAACAGGACGAATGTATGGGCTGCTAGCATCACACCTGGATCAAAAGGAAAAATTTGGCACCAGTCAACTTCAATGCAGAAGAAACACAGCAGCTCAAATGCTGTCTGATGTTTCTTTGCTGGGGCAGCAGATGCTTTCAGTGCGTGTGATCATGATGTACAGGACAACTGTTACCTGGATGGAATTTATAAAGTAACATTTTCAAGACATTTAGGCTGTTCCTGCAAGCAGAGCAAATACAAAAGAGCGAAATATGCATTTGGAATTCAGAAATGTGGGAGTGTCTGCATTCTTTTAATATCTGGACAACCAAATCAGCTAAAATAAGAAAGAAACAAAAGTCCCTTGAACATGCAGTAAAATCCCTATGTAAATAACAACAAGGTTACTGGGGGGCATGGAAGGCAGCGACAGAGATAGGAAATTATTTGAAGACCTTAGCCTAAAAAAGTAAAATCTGTTCAGCTTGGGATCATAGAAAAGTGGGTTCGAAAGGACTTCACAAAGTAATCTAGTCCAGCCCCCTTGCTCAGGGAAGAATCATCCCTAACTAAACCACCCCAGCCAATAGTCTAATCTGCTCTTGAAAATTTCCAGAGATGGAGATTCCACTTCTTTAGGTAGCCTGTTCCAATGCTTGTCCAGCCTTTGCATTATGCTTTAGAGGTGCACTGATATATCAGTCCATATCGTATCGGCACCGATAAAAGGAAAATTGACATTATTGGTAATTGACATTTTTTGGCTGATGTGGCCGATAATGTCACTGATAAATGCTGTATGCATGTGTGCAACTGCAACTTGCACACAACCAGGAATGCAGCCTGGCAGCTTGGGGAGCAGCACCTGGTCAGTAAGTCTGTGGGAAGAAGGGGCATGTGGGAGGCAGATCGAGGCCCCCATGGTGAGGAAGAGAGTGGGGCTGGGGTAGAGGTAGGAGCAGGGGCAGGCATTGTTCACCCAGGGCAGGGGCAGCTCCCGCTGCTGTGCACACCCCCAGGGGAGGCATGAGGTCATGTGCAGGGTGAGGGTGGGCTGCCCGCTGTGGGCTCGGGGCCACAGGCTGAGCTGGCTTTTTCCTGGCAGGGGGTGGGGTGTGCTGGAAGTGTGGGATACAGCAAATTTTGGGGTGGCTGCAGCACCCCTCCTGTAGCTCCCCCTCCCAGCACCACCGCCACCTGCCCTGCCCTCCCTGAACACAGCCCTGGCCCAATCCTCACACCATAAAGAGGCTGGTGCAGCCCCTGGCCCTGAATCTGCGGCAGGCAGCCCACTCTCACCCCATGCACAAATCCGTGGGACACATGCCTCCCCCAGGGGGTGTGCACAGCAGCTGGGAGCCACCCCCCACCCCAAGCCCCCAAACGAGCCATCCATGGCTCCATCCCGCACCCTGCCCTGGAAGAGCAGTGCCTGGCCCTAACCCACTCCCTCCCTCACTGCAGGAGCCTCAATACCCCCCCACATGCCACTTCCCTCCCCCACAGACTTACTGGCTGGACGCCGCTCTCCAAGCTGCCCAGCTGCATATTAGCAATCACATTGGTATAGGCTGATATGGCTGGGCCATCAGTATCGGCCAAACAAATCTTTATTGATGCACCCCTAATGTTTAGGTTTCTTCAAATCAGAAACTGAAAGTGGAATTTAGAGTGGAAGTAAAACTTTAGACTAAAATCGCAACGAGACCAGTTCCAAAACCCTATAAATTGAAATGGCAGAGTTTAGCAAAACTCTAGATGAAGTCTACTCTTGAGAATTAGAAAGTTAAAGATAAGCTAGGGAGATCTAAAGCCATGCAGATGCCTCTTTGCCTTCCTGGAGGAAAGAAAAAAAAAAAAAAGGAGGGAAGAGAGAGTTATAATAGTCGAACCACCACTACATAAAGTTGATGGGTAAAAATCTGTATGCTTTGTACTTCTTTCACATAGCAACTTAGTAATTAAACTAAAAACTGGATATATTTGTCATCAGTTGAGACATGAAATAAAGAGGAAAGCTTTTCCATTTACTAGCATTCAATATACTTTCAGGGATAGAGCAAGAACTTAGGACTCAGGAGATCTCATATGGAATGTGGTGTTAAATAATCATGTGAAAACCACCATGAGATTCTCATTTCCAGGGATCCTAGTTTTCTGTTTAAAAATCCCAAATTCTGACTAAAAAGATGCGCCCCCCCCATCCCCCACATTCTCTGAGCAAAAATACCCAAATCCACATTTTTCTGTGATTAAAATGAAATGCCACTACTTATATAGGTATCAGCTGAACACAGTGTTATACTGATATATTTACCCATAGCCTTCCAAGCCCTGCTGGTGTCCCCCACCCCCAACATATGAGGAAGGGAGTGGATGTGTGGGGATGGAGGGGTGTGGGCACAGGCAACGCACAGGGGGATAGGCAAGGGACAGACAATGCAGCATGGGGGGCCACATACCCCCCGTTTTCTGCAACCACAGTGGGATGCAGGGCTTCAGCTGGGCCAGATCCATCCCATTGCCTGTGCTTTCCTGCCCCCACCCCCAATATGTCGCCTGCTCCCTCCCCCACCCCTGACTTACTTGGAGGGAACTGTGGGAGCTGCTCTGCACTGCTGCCCACCTGTCTCATGCATGTGATGCCCCCTGTACATACATGTGGTGCTCCCTGCATCCTGCTCCCCCCTCAGCCCCAAGCAGGCCCTTGTAGGCTGGAACTGTGGTAACCTGGCAAGGGGAAACCTGCAGTTTCCCATGTTTTTCTCCTTTTTCTCCTTTAAAGGAGATTACCATGATTTTCTCCTATGAAGGAGAAAATCCATGTTTTTCTCTGTTTAAGGGGAATATCTGCATTTTTCCACTTTTTCCCCACAGGAAAGGGGAAACCCGGATCCCAGCTCATATCTAAGACACAATAAAAGTGCAGGTCAAGATTTTTAGAAATTGTTGCCTAAACTTAAGCATCTATGGGTGGGTACAGATGTAACAATCATACTGATACTGAATTATACCAATATAAACTTTACAATGCATTTGTTACATCTACTTGATCTTATAGCAGTATAAAGTGTAGCAGCCACAAATCATTGCAACCTGTGTTCCATTCAGGGTTGCAGATGTAACAGTTACATCAAAATAGCCATGCCTTTTGATCACTGTAACAGGGAACCCTCATTCTGTTACTTGGGGAGGGCTATGAAAGCAGCAGAAGCAGCAAGTGCCTTTAAGTGTCTTTGTGGCCAAGACAAAGGCAGTTGGCAGGGCTGGAATTAAGGAGCAGCCCCTGGGCTTAGATCATATAATAAGCTCAACTGACCAGAAGGCACTGGAGAGTTCAGGGGGTGAATAGGTTTGTCCTCAGGCTGAAGGGGCAGTTCAGCCTTGGCTGGGGAAGGAGAAGGATCCTTCAGGTGGGCTGCAGCGGGGCACAAGCAAAAAGGGGAGCCCTGGTGGGTTAGGGCTGAGAGGGTTTTTTTTGGTGTGGCTTCTTTCCTTCTCCCTGCACAGGATCCAGAAGGATAAATAGGGCTGACTTGTTACGAGTGTCTGGAGAGGCAGTAATTTTTAGTTGAAAGTGATTGCTTGCATTTTTGTTTCAGTTTGTCCAGAGGACCAGAAGCACTGTGAGGGAAGGTGGAAGTCACAATGCATGTGCTTTAAAGTGCCCCATGCATTATCACCCCTTGTGGGTGTGGGGTCATACACAGAGAGAGGGGATTTAACCCCTTTAAGGCTGGGGAACTTGGAGGACCCAGAGCCCTACTGTGGAACCTAATTCCCAGGTGTGCTGCTGCTACCAAAGAGCCAAGGCCAGACAAAGGGGGCCCAGGGCCGAAGGGAGCAACTAGAGCAGGGGTGGGCAATTATTTTGGCTGGAGGGGCATTTAATGAGTTGTGGGGACCTATCAAGGGCCACATCCATCTCTCTCTTTGTTTTTCTCTCTCCGCCTCTCTTGCTCTTCTCTCACTCTCTCGCTTTCCCTCTCTTCCTCCTGAACCCAGTTAGAGCTGTAGTGTGCCAGAGCCCCAAAGCTCAGCTGTGGACACAGACAGGGACTTCTGTGGCGGTGGGGGAGGTGGTAGCATCAACTGAGGGGGCAGCCAGCAGGTTCTAGAGACCTGATGTGGAACCTGTAGGCAGTGCCACAGCTGATGCTGCTGCCCATCTAGCATGGCAGAAGCTCTTGCCTGGGTCCACAGCTGATGCTGCTAGCAGGATCCAGGGAGGTGCTTCCACTGAGCTGGGAGGAAAGTGATCTCAGCTGTGGACACTGCAGGCAGGTTCTTCGTTGGGGCTCCTGAACATGCCAGCAGCATCCACAGCTGATGCCGCCACCCCCTCACCCCAACTGTAGTGGAAACCCTGCCCAGGTCCACAGCTGCTGCTGCTGCTGCTGCATCAAGGGATGATGCTGCTGAACAGAAGCAGTCCTACCCACCCACCCAGCACCACATGGCAAATGGAGCTGCCAGCTGCCTGCAAGCTAGATCCAATGAGTTGGCAGCCATCCACCCATGGGCCAGAAAAAAAAAAAAAATCAATCAGTTGGTGGGCTGGATCTGGCCCACAGTCCGTAATTTCTCCACCTCTGAACTAGAGCAAATTAAGCAGCAGACAAGAGTCAGGGCCTGGACAAGTATAAAAAGTGGAAGCCAAGCAGCCCAAAAGAAATCCCTCCAACTCCGAGGCTCTGGATGCTGCCTGCATACTTGGCTCTATCAAGGTGTGGCAGGAAAGATAGAGGGTGGCACCTTGGAAAAACCAGAAGGGGCAGGGGCCTATGCTAGCTGGCTGCTGGGATGTATGACCTCCCAGCAGGGCTAGGCCTGCCACAAGCACCAACTCCTTCTCTCTTTTGTACTTGGAAAGTTAAACTGTGGCAGAGTGCCTTTCCAGGGGTGGGTGTGAAGCCTCTGGAGTCCCTACTGCTCTCACTTTATGGGCAATTACTCCTTCATTTTCCCACCTTGCCTTGATGTTAATTACTTTTATGATGGAGACTGGCCCAGAGCTTCCCAAATTGTTCTCAAAACTGACCACCAGGTGCATATAGTCTCTGCCTTATGGACTAATTGCATAGCTCCGTTCTTCCCTTATACCAGGGGTTTTCAACCTTTTTTAATAAGTGTACCCCTGGCGGCTGGATGCAGAGCTGGGGGGGGGGGAAGGAGAGTGGATGGGGGGAGTGGGAGCGGTGGCTGCCATGTGCTCCCCGCTACATCTAGCCGGCTCCTGTGCGGCCCGCAGAGCGGCATCGCTACCCTCACCCCACTTCCCTCCTTGGCCCTGCTCCTGGGAGGCGGCAGTGCAGGGTGGTCGGTGATGTTGCTCCATTCCCCCCCGCCTGTGCCTACCCCCCTAGGGCTTTCTCAAGTACCCCCAGTTGACAACCCCTGCCCTATACTATGCTCCATGCCTTGCAGATGGAATCCTTCATAGATGTTGTCTTTCACCTAAGCTCCCTTCTGGTGGTCCTGGACCTCCGTTGGTCCCACTCTCAGCCTCCCACTAGGCCCTAGATCCCTCCCTGGGTCACTAGGAACCTCCTCCTCCCCAAACCTCCAGACTGGTTTAGGTGTTATCCCCAAGCTGGCTTTCTGGAGCTGCAGCCATCCTGCTGAGGTGGTGTTCTCTCAGCAGGTTCTGAGCTGTTACTGCTAGCATCTCTCAGGGCCTGGGCTTATGCCTTCTCTGGCTGGGTCAACTGACCCTGCAGTTAGCCCTGGCACACACCTGCCAGCAGCACTGCAGGCTGCCTGGCCTCTTAAAGTGGCATGGACCCCAAGTGCCCTGCCACAACATCCACGTGCAGCCAACTAACATTCTAATACAAAGTCTACTGAATTTAATGGAAAGATGTTCAGTGATTTCGCAAAGTTTTGGATCAGGCACTAAGTGCTTGCTTATATTTACATAAGTGGCCAGACTTTCAAAGGAGCTGGGCACCCAGCAGCCGCTGCTGCTATCAGTGAAAACCACAGGGCACTCATGCTGTTGAAACTCAGGGTACATTTTTTTTTAGAAGTCTAAAAATGGAGTTAGAAGCCCTCAGCTAGGAAGTCATTTGAAAATCCTGGCTATCAAGTATGAGATATTATGTACTTCACGGCAGGACCATAAAATGGAAAAACACAGTCCCTTTGCAGAAGCATTTTCTTTACCAGTAGTCGTAACTCTCATCCCAGTTGTCAAAATGAATTAGCAGCCGGTTATCCAACATATCAGCAACAGTTGCCACGCACATCAAAGATGGATTCTTTCTGTCCACTGCTTCCAACTTCATTCCCACCCGAAATCCAGATGGCGTGACAGGCTAAAGAACAGAACAGAGAAAAAAGGAAATCAACAATCAAGCTCTGTGCCAGATCATTTAAATTACTATGCCTATTTGGCTCAGGTTATTTATATAAAACATTATAAGAAAAAAACCCATACTATAGCTACCTGCTTGACAGAACATCTGGCAGAAAGGTTACAGCCAAGATTTCCATGTGTTCTGGCAACAATCCCTATTATTTCTAACGGAGACTTACTGAAACTTGAATACTACTTATCTTCAATGACACCAGACCCAGCCAGGTTCAGAGACAGAAATAGAGACTGCCCTTCTGATAACGCGTACTGCCAGCCTTGTTGTATCAATGGAGGAAGAGTCAAATGCGACTTTTAGGTATACAGCTGGGTCCAAAGCACAGACAGACTTACACAGCAAGACCATGATAACCACAGGAATTTATTCTCCATCCTTTGCTGCACAAGTAATTTGGTGTGGCTGACAAATGGTCCTATGCAAATAATGATGGCTTTAAATGAAAATAGCGGTGGGTGAATGTATATGAGGAATGTATATGTGAATGTATATGAGGAACAAACCCTTGTGCACATGGGGATACTGTTGGATAATCAGAAATGTATCTGAGAGATTAGAGTAATGGAAATTCTGACAACTGTCTTGACTGGGATCCAGGTACAACATTGTGTTTAATTAATGCAAATGTAAATCTCTCTCTTTGATCACAAAAAGGAGGGAAATATAAATTCTCTGCATGTGAAGTTAATGATGGTTTTTTGCTTTTGTTTTTTAAAAGCAGAGAGACATTACTCTGGTTTCCCATCTTACAAATAAATTAATGTGTGCAACAGCAGTGCAAACAGCTGATTGTGCTATGTCCTTTAGGGTTATAAAAGAACACATTACTATTCTGGTCAAACCTTTAGGATGTGCTTAACATAAGACTTCTTACCCATTAGAGGTAGCCTTGTAAGAAGAACCCACAGTGAGTAGAAAACAAGAGGTAGCCTTGTAAGAAGAACCCACAGTGAACAGAAAACCCCACTGCTGCCAATGTATTTAGGTCATGCCCCTGGTCTTAGCTCTGGACTTGGGGGGAAAGGGACTGTCATAGAGCCATAAATGAAAGAGGACCAAGAAGAACAAGAAGCCTGATGAATGCTTACAATGTCTATATACATATGCCAGCTGTATGGGAATAAGTGAAACCTTAGTAAAAACTGGGGAATAATTATTGCCACAGAAAACTGGTGAGAAAAATCACAAAACTGGAATAGTGGGATAGAAGGGTACAGATTATTTAGAATGGACAGGTAAGGGAAAAAGGGAGCAGGTGTTGCATTGTGAATATATACCATTTGCAATGAAGTTCGGGAAGAGGTAGGAGACAAGTTTGTTTAAAGTCTCTGTGCTCAGATAAAAGGGGAAAAGAACAAGTGATGTCATCATAAAGGAACCTCTCTCTAGAGATCACTATATCAAGAAGAAGGCGGACAAAGCTTTTTTAACAACCATCAGAAACAGTCAAAGCAAAGAACTTGGTGGTAATGGGAGAGTTTATCCAGATATGTCTTGCAAAAACAGATAGCCTATGGAGCTCTTGCAATATGCTGCGGACTATTTTCCGTTTCAAAAGATGGAGAAGCTACGAGAAAACAGATATTTTAAATTTTGTTTTAACAGGGAGATAGACTGAGACTCTAAAGATGGAAGATAACAAGGGTGAAAACGATCATGGAAGTGATAGAGTTCAATATTCTGAGGAAAGGAAGGTGGAAAGAACAGCAGAATAAGAATAGATTTAAGAAAGCAGACTTTAACACAAAAAAAAAAAAAGAAGAAAAAAAAATCAGGAAACTCGTGGACAGGGTCTCTTGGGAAGATAGTCTGAGGGATAAAGCCATGTAGGAAAGCTGGCTGTTACTGAAGGAGATTATATTAAATACACAACAGCAAAGGAAAGAGAGGAAGCATAATAAAAAAGCCACTATGGCTGTACCAGAAGCTTGTCGATGACCTGAAAACCCAAAAGGAATTATATGAAAATAGAAAACAAGGACACATAAGCTAACAATAAGTAAGAAGGAACAACACCAGTTTGTGGGGATACCAATCAGAAAAGCTAAAGACACAAAAATGACTTTCAATTAGCAAAGGACATAAGAGGGAAAAAAGAAAAGATTCTATAAATGCTGGAAAACCAATGGAAGCGTAAGTTCATTATTAAAAAGAAAATGAAAGCAAATATTAAATGATGCAGAGGAAGCTAAATTACTCAGTGTCGTCTTCATTCCAGTTTTCACCTTTAAAGTAAACAGTCACCTGATATTTAACACAATTAATTTTAATAAGGAGATAGGAACACAGGCCGGAGCAGAGAAAGAACACGTTAAAGAATATTAGGTAAGACTGATGAGTTCACGTTGGCACGGCCTGATGAAATTCACCCTAGAGTGCTTAAGGAACTAGCCAATGTAACCACTAGCAATTCATCTTCAAGTAACTGTGAAGGACAGGGTAGGTCCCAGAAGACGGAGAAGGGCAAATGGCAGGTCCCAGAAGACTGGAGAAAAGTACCTGTCTTTAAGAAAGGAGGGGAAAAAAAAGGAGGGCCCATAACTAGGAATCTACCTAAGTTATAGTGAAAGTGATTGTTGTGGGCTGCTCATGGTGCGCGGACGTAACTTGGAGGCCTTTTCATAGAGAGCCTGCCCTTTGCTGCTGGTTGGCCAAGGGCTGCATGTCATGAAGCCCTGCCCCTGGTCACTGACTGGTGGAGAGGGGTGGGGCACATGACAGGCAGCCCTCTCAGCCAATCAGTGGTGAGGGGGGTGGGGGGCATCATCCTGGCTGCTCCCTTTTGCACCAGACACTCCCCCTCCCTCCCCAGCTGGCTGCAAAGCCAGGCCACAGTGGCCATGAGGATTGCTGGCTCTTGCTAAGGAGCCATTTTATTGCATTTTATTTTAAGTAAGTTTTGGGTTTTTTTTTTTAATTTTGCAGGTTTTGTGGACAAAGCCCAATTTTGCAGTTTTCACGAAATCCACAAAACTGCAAATTAAGTAGGTTCCTACCCATAAGTATAACTCAGACTGTCTAACTTCTATCCCCAAAACCAGTGGTGCTCAATTTTTGGCCCTGTGGGCCAGATGAGTAGCGTAGGGGTGGTCCGCAGGCTGGATTAAGCCCTGCATGCCAGGATTGGATCCTGAGGACCTGGCGCTGCCCCCTCCTGGCCCCTCAAGTTGGGGATAGGCCCAGGGGCCTGGTGCTGGCCCCATCTAGCCCTGCACCCTATCCAAGAAGCAGAGCTGGGGACTCTCCACAGGTCCAGATATCTGGTACTAGGGAAATGGTACCACTTTTTATTCCACCACTTCTCTACCACCAAATTTCCAGACCCATAGGGAGTCCCATAGGCTGGATGTCATGGCAGCCCAGGCCAGATCCGGCTGCAGGCTGGGGATTGAGCATCCCTGCCTGAAACAAAATCAGATACTAGAACAAATTACTAAGTGATCAATTTACAAATACCTATAACAGGGATGGGCAAAAGATGGCTCGCGGGCCACATCTGGCACACCAACTGACTGGATCCACCCTGCAGCTGCCCCTGCAGCACTCTACATAGGGCCAAGCCACCCCCAATCCTAGCAGCCAGCCCCTGCTACACTCCCACCTATGCTCGCTGGCCCGGGCCTGGCCAGTGCATGTAGCTTTGTTCCCAGTATGGCTGTAGCCAGCCGGGCGTTGTTCTCCTCCCTTTGCCTCCTTCACTCTTCCTCCTGTTTCTGCCCTGGTTGTGCTGCTTGCTTCGGGTGGGTAGGGAGAAGCTTCAAACAGGTGGCTCCTCATTGCACTGGGTGGATGAAGTGGGTAGAAGGTGGCCAGGAGCTGGAGCCAGAGTCCTGTACACTGGGGCAGAAACCACCTAGCTGAAGTTTCCCTTCCCCGCCTCCCACCAAGAGCAGCACAGCAGGAGCAGGAGGAGGAGCATGAGCTGTCACTGGAGGTGAGGGGAGCACAGCAGCACTCAGCCACCTACAGCTACACTGGGACTACACCCCCTGCCTTGCGAGTACCCCGGAGGTTAGGCAGGGGCAGGTGTAGGAGCTTGCAGGGGTGAGACAGGCCCTGGGAGTGGCAGGGTGAGGTGGGGATGATGGGGCAGGATGTGGCATTGAGGCCAGTGAGGTCCCACTGGGGCAGGTCCTGGCAGTGGCCAGGTTGAGACTGCCCGGTGCCAGGGTCTGCCCATCCATCTGTGCTGCTGCATTGCAGGTCTGTCCACCTGTCTGCCCACTGGGCACAGGGCAGTGGAGAAAGGGCTCTGGCGGAGTGAGGGCAGAGGGGACTGCTCCCTCTGCACCGCATGAGCAGTTGCCAGCAAGCCCAAGGCTGGATCCAGATCTGAGAGCCCCTGTTGGCTGGGGCTGCGGAGAAGGTGGAAGTGCATGGGGCTGGAGCGCCAGCTCTGTCCTCTAGCCCAGCCCACAGCAATCTAGATCAGTGGTCTCCAACCTTTTTAAGTAGATCACTTTTTGAATTAAAAAAGCAACCCAAGATCTACCCTGCGCCACCATTTCTCCCCTCCCTCCCCCCAAAAGTCAGTCTGTGGGAACAGAAAGGGGTGGGGGGGGCAGATCAAGGTGGAGGAAGAAAAAGTTATATGGGGGCATGCCCCCCACAGCAGGTAAGTCTGTCCCCAACTCCTGCCAGCCCCTGCTCCTGCCTGTGCCCCACTCCCTTCCTCACCACTGGGGCCTCAATCTGTCCCCACCCCACAGCAGTGAGGGATGCACAGGCCCTGCACGACTGGGGCACAGGCCAGAGCCACAAGCAGCTCATCCTGAGGGCGTGGGGCACGCCATGTGCCCCTGGATCTGCATGCTGACTGGGCTGGCTGCCGCTGCAGGCTGGGGCAAGGGCTACATCAGGCTCTTCCTGGAGACTCCATCCCACGCTCCACTTGTGCAGAGCCTGCCCCTACTCCAGCCCCGCTGCCTCCCTCACTGCTGCTGCGGCCACCCGTGCTGCTCCATGTTTGGGGGTGGAGGAACATGTGCCCCCAGGGACCTGTGTGCAGCAGAGGCAGCTGCTGTTGCAGGCTGGGCTTTGTGTCTTGAGCCCCGCTGTAGCAGGCCCAGGAGTTGCACAACACCATGTGCGTCCCACTACTGGGCTGGGCCTCGTCCCCTGCCCGTCTGGCGGTAGGCACACGTGGAAGGGGTGGACTGGAGGCCATGGGGGTATGGCAGGGGCCCACAGCACAGAGTCCATCCCAGGACTGTGAGCCAGAGGCTATGTGCATGCAGTACCCCAGCACTCTGCAGAAAGACTGTTACTGTCTGACAGAGGGCAAAGATAGAAGACAGCAAAGACTGGAGCACAAGCCCAGAACTCGCAAAGGTGAGACCCGAGGCCAAGGGGCCCAGAGCCCATGCGGGCCAGAGCAGGGGTCAGGGGACCCAGAGCCATAAAGGCATGGCTAGTGCTGAGGCCCAGGAGCTTGTGGTCCTAGGAAAATGGACCCCAGGCTGAGGGGCTCAGCCAGAGTAAAGTGGGATAAGGCCAGATGGCCTTAGCTCTGACAAGGGCCTATCATCCAAACCCCGCTTTGCTCTCTAAAGGCAGCCTTCCTATCAAGGCATGACAGGCGAGATTAAAGGGTGAGACTCTGAGAAGCCAACGGGGGCAACAAAGTGGGGCCTGGGCAGTGGCCAGGAGTGGTGGCTTTGCTGCCCCAGCACCAATCGCATTACACAGTTCTATTCATTTTTTTCCATTAATGGACTGGGTAATAGAACAAAAAAGTACATTTAAAATATCTTCAGATGAAACCATGCAAGCATTTTGGAAGACAGAGCTGGAATTCAAAACGATCATGAGAAATGAAACTGAAGAGACTGTCTGAAATCTACAGGATGAATTCAATAAAGACACATGCATAGTACTATATTTAGGAAAGAAACATCACATACCCAAACACAAAATGGGAAATATCTGGCTAGACAACACTATGGCAGAAAAGGATCTAGGGGTTATAGTGGATCATAAACTAAATATAAGTAAAAATAATAGGATGCTGTTGCAAAAAAAGGCAAATCTCATTCTGGCATGTCTTAATATGAGTACTATATGTAAGAGAGTATTCCACTCAATTCAGTGCTGGTAAGCGGTTAAAGGAACTGGGTTTGTTTAGTCTACAAAAGAGAAGACTGAGGGAGGACTTGATAGTGGTCAAAGAAATTATAGCTTGTTATAAAGGGGATGTTGATCATTTTTTCTCCATGAACAGTAAGGAATGAGAATTAATCAGCTTCTTTTACAGAAAACAAGATTTATCTTGGATATTTAGTTAAAAACTTTCTAGTTAAAAGACTTTCTAGTAGGACCATGAAACAATGGAAAAGACTAGTTAGGTAGGTTACATATTTCCTTCACTGAAGGTTTTTATGGAGCAGTTTACGTAAATGTGTCAGAGATTGGTCCATGGATGTTATGCTTTATTATGTCTTATTGCAAGGGGTTGTGCTAGGTGATCTCTGAAAGTCCTTTCAGGCCCACATTTCTATGATGCTGTTTTAAAAGGCATCGTATTTTATGCTACCACCTACTGTGCTGAGGGTCTTGAAAAGGATTTTGGGGGCTGCTTGAGCTTTACAATTCTTCAGATAAGAAGTCCAATTAAATTCCCCTTCCTTGCAACCTAGAAAGGAGAGAGAAAAGTTTGTTTTACGCTGTTCCTGATATATTTAGATTGTTTTTTCAGAAATGGAAATTACCAAGGAAAAATTTGAACTTTGTATAACTGCCCTTGTACAATCTTCAAGGGTTACGCGTTTCAGTTAACACATTTCTCCCTCTTTTACTGCAGTGTCTAATCATTAATCTGAAACTTCAAATGTTTCTAGGAAATGGAATGCAGAAAGGAGGAGTAAATTGGGAACACCAAAGAGATTCACTGATTTGCATGCTCACTTAATAAGGAGTTTCTAATTAGTTTGACTAACAATGCCAATATTTGAAAATATCAAAAAGAAGTTGTTATGCTCTTCTGTGAATCAATTTTGATCTTAATTATGCCTTCAAACTTAACACTATTCAAAGTAGGCTTGACATGAAATTATACTAAAAATGGATTGTGGATACGCAGGGCAGCAGCAAGTTCTTTGCAGACTTTATTGCTTTGAGTATGCCACTCTTTTTATTTCTCCACATACCTTTAGGGGGAAGCAGCTTGTGACCTGTTTTTTCACACCAGCTGACAGGGTGGATGTCTGGGGAATCAGCATTAATCCAGAAGTCATAGCAGTCAGAATAACCATCAAAATGTAACCTCATTCTAAATCCCTGCACCTACGAGCACAAGAAGTCTTATTACCATAAAGGGATACTGAGGTTAAATAAAAATAATAATTAAAAAGAAAAATTCCCTTCTCCAGTTGGGTTTGTAAAACAAAAGAACTTTAAAATCCTAATTTACTTCTCAAAAATCTGGCTTTATGCTTTTCCATGTATGCTATTTACCCTTTTCAATTTAATTCAGTTTGGACCAAGAAAAATAAAACTTTTCAGCTTCACTTCCTTGTTCTCATGCCATAGACCTGCACTACAATGTTTGAAGTTGCAAACACCACAGATTGATGATGATTATATCCAATCAAATCAATGCAATTTTCAGTTAATTTTTTTAAAGGTATAAAAATATTTCAATTTGCTTTCATTTCACAAAGCTTTCAAATCAAACACTAAAACTCTCATTCAGAATAGTGTCATTGGAACGCCTGGGCTACTCACCCTAGTTAGAATCACTAAATAACAGCTGAAGGACAGAAACCCAAATTTAGGTCCTTAGCTGCAGGATCCTGTTAGCTTTCAGCACACTTTCTCTTTACAATTTATTTTTATTGTTTTTAAACCAACGTAATTGTACAATTTTTCACAAAGAAATACTATGCTGTTCTATTTCTTTAGAAAAAAAAAATCTATTAGCTCGAGTATGTTATCCATTTGAAAGGAAGTCTAATACAGGAAAAGCATGTACCTCAGCCACAGTGAGAACGCAACATAAAGATGGATGTTCAGGATCTAGGCCCTCTAACTTCATTCCAACTTTAAATCCATTTCTACCTTGTGGGAAGGATTGATACTATGGGAACAAGAATGGAGGAGAAAAAAAGTACTTTTATCTTTAGAGATACAATTCACTGTAGAATAGTCATCAGGAACATTGCAGGATAGGAAGCCAAAACCTAAAGGCTTCATGTTTTTTATTTAAAAAATTATCACTAGATTGTGTCAGTGAGTATCACTTTGGCCCAGTTTTGAATTGTATCCCATTCTCTGTCATAAAAGTGGCCTCAGCTGCTCTCTGCATCAAAAGGTGATGCTCAATAGACACACACAGTTATATGGATCAGGAACAGCATTTTCATGCACCACAAATATATTGCCCTCTAACATCCCATACACTCACAATAAAAGTGTTTGATCTTTTAAAATGCTAAACCTCATGTCTGTAAACTAAATCTTTCAGAAGATGCAGGAACAGTTTAATCTGTATACAAGACACCATCATATACAGCCCAATCTGGAAGATCTGGCACAGACCAAACCGTCCGTGAAATTAAAATTAACTTTGCCTCTATCAGAAGTGGATCTACCATGGAGTCATTTTCCCAGCATAACACATTCCTTCAGACTTAGCAGCACAAAGTAAACAGGAACAAGGCACAATTATTGTGGAATAAGAGTCTACCCATACAGTTATTTGGGAATAGCTACTGCACTTAAAATTCATACCTAAACTTAACCCAAGTTAACACTGAAGTATAGACAAACTGTGTAAAGAGCTTTTCTTATAACCAGGATTATAAAAAGCTAATTGATAATTGCAATATATGAAAACTTTACATGACTTCCAATTCACTTTACTGTGGTGCCAATCCTGCATTGTGTCAAGTGTCTTCTGTTTCTAATGAAATCAATGGGCATTGAGAGAACTTAGCACCCTACAGGGGCAGGGCCTATATAGAAGATTCACTATATCCACGGTCACTGTACTGATACATATTGGACACAGCAATTGCACATTACTTCTACCTCCACTTACAGTGATGACTTATTATTAAGATACTCTGTAATATTCCAAGATTTAAGGATCCAATTAATTTAAATTGTTTTCTAATTAGGAGAGCTGAAAAGCAGCATTGCACAAATACCAGTTAGGTGCTAGATATACAAAAACCAACATTTAACAACTACCTTCATGGCTGTGATTTAGGGATTTCTTAATAATTGATTTACTTGTACTTCAACAGTGAAGAACATTGTTTAGTGGTGGGCTCAAAAAGGGTTTGTAATTGTCTCCAATCCCACTGCTGCCTTAAAGAAACACTGAGATGAAAGACGAATCAAGTATTAAATAAGTCTCTTCTACCTAAAGAATTAAAGTGCCCCCACTTCAAATGAATTGTATTCATAATTTTGCACCTCTGTACTGGCTGTCAAAGAATTTCAAACTGGTTTGTCTCCAGGCATTTAATTAATTTCCTCACAGTGATGTTGAAAGACTAAAGTAATATTATTACATTCATTTTCTGGATAGGGAAACAGAGGCAGAGAGGTTGGATAGCTGGCTCCATTTGCATGTGTGGTGGTGTACACTTGACTTTCTATATGTCGTCTTGAGAACATAGTTAAAAGTGAGGATAACAATGCTGTCTTGTTCTTTACAAATGCAAAGTGCTTTAAGTGCAAAAATCATATTAACCAATGGTACTGCCTTAGAACAATCATATCAAAAGCATTCAAGGAGGTGCCAACCTCTTTGAACAATTTAAATGGAGCAGCTGGCATCTGTTCCTCTTCTAAGTAGGAAACCCAGTTCCACACCTTCTTCTTTCCAAGAAGAACTGAATAATCAAAAACAGAAAGACAAAGAAAGTTTATCTCACAGAGGACAGAGTACTGAATGAAGGCATCTATCTCCTCTTACCCAGGAAACAGCCATTATTGCTGTCTGGATTAGATCCAGATGCTTGCCTACTTTCCCTCCTTGATAGCTTATAACATTGCTTAAAAGCACGTAGCTCCGAGTTCCACAAAGGATCTTGTTGAGCCCAAGGCCAAATACACCCTGTGGCAGCTTTCCCTCCTTTCATTTTCAGTCACTGGAACTAAACTAAGAGGCAATGCTAACTACAGTCATAAAGGAAAACACAAATCCCAGGCAAAATTTTGATTGTGTATATTTCTCATCAAAAAATATGCTACACTATACATTAGTTGTGGTATACCAACTCCTGGCAAGTTGCCAGGTCAGCACAGGCATTGCAAAGCTTGGACATCTGCATAATAGTAACATAAAAATTGGGAGACTATTTCCTCCATTCAATATTTCATAGAATGAATAATGGTTTGGGTCCAAAATATAAACAGCAGAGGAAAGTCACAGAACAGTAGCTGAAAATAAATCCAAAGCAAACTGAATGGAAAACCAAATAATTTTTAGTTTAATATAAGACTATAAACTGCCAGTACCAAAAGTATTTACTAGGGATAGGACTATTAGGACACAGATGGTGAATACAATCACAATGCAGGCAGGTGTTTGACTTTGGTCTAGCAGAACTGCACTAACAAAACACAAAGAATATACGCATTATATTTTAGGTACATTACATTAGAAAATCACCTCCAATCTATCTACAACTATTTTCACCTTCAAGCATACAATGAATATCAGTTCTATCACCCACCAAAAGCTATAAACCATTATCCATTTATTTACATTGTGTTTTCTATTTAGAATTTGCTATTCATGGTTGTGATCTGAAACCTACTTAAGTCAATGGAAAGAGACTCCTATTGACTTCAATGGGTCAGGCCACCTCTTTCAAGTTTCATTAAATGTGCTTATCAAGGAGGCAAAAGCCTGGGATACTCTTAGATGTTCTCAAAGGTTGATATATGGGAAGGAGGATATGTACCTAATAAATATTAGCTGTATTATTCTGAATGTGTAATGAACTCCTCTGTCCTTGCCTTCTTTGTTTACTCTTATCCATTCTGTAATAGCTAGTAAAGTTTGTGAACATTAAAAGGAGAGAGACAAGGAGTTTAACTCACCTTGTTTTACTGGTTTGGTGTTTCTGCGGTTTTTCATATTATTTGATTTATTCTTCTCCTAGAAAAAGAGACGTTAAGAACAATTAGCAATATTGTTGTTTCCTCCTTGACTGACCATATCTGCCCTGGGAAATGAAAAATATGTAACATAAATTAACAGAAATATTAACTGGCATTGTTTTTGGCCCGTGGGAGCTTTAGTGCTCTTTATACACAGGGACCTACTTAACTCGCAGCAAAACAAAGCCATTTTCACAGCTTTGTCCTGGCATAAAGAGCCCATTTTGCGGGCATTTAACAGTGGCCCTGCCCCTCAGTGCTGATTGGCAGAGAGGCCCTGCCCCTCAGAACTGATTGGTAGAGAGGCCCTGGGAGGGAGGAGGAAGGGGGGGGGGACAGTCACCATCTTGACTGCTGGCTGCCCTTTGTCTGGCCCCGTCCCTCAGTGCTGACTGGCAGAGAGATCCTGGGGGGGGAATAAAGAGGGACAGCCACCATCTTGGCTGGTGTCCCCTTCATGCCTTAAGGCAGGGGTGGGCAAAATGCGGCCCACGGGCTGGATGCGGCCTGCCAGGCCATTCTATCTGGCCCGCGGGGCCCCCCAAAAATGTAGAAAATTAATATTAATCTGCCCTGAGCTGCCTGTCACGCAGCCCTCGACGGCTTGCCGGAACTCAGTAAGCGGCCCTCTGCCCAAAATAATTGCCCGCCCCTGGCTTAAGGGGAAGGCTTGATAAAAATAAGTTTTTATTAAGTTTTTTTCCCCTGCAGATTTCATGAGCACCCCTGGATTAGGTAGGCAACCCCAGATTTCACAGTATCCACAAAACCACAATTTAAGTAGGTCCCTATTTTTATTAATTTATTTATATAGCTTCTATCTCAAAAGCTCCCAAACTGCTTTAAACATTATTTCATGTATACCACTTAATGCTTATTTAAAGACATCATCCTGGTGCAATAGAGGACTGAAATCTCCCTAATATTACATTGGACTTGCTAGCTGCACTGCAAGATGTGCAGCCCATATGAGAAATCTCATGCTACAGGGTTTGAATCTGGATACCTTCCCAAACATTATACAACATACACAAAAAGACTACCAAAGATTTATTACACCATCCAACCAACACAAAAAGAAGAACTGGAACCAGTTACTACAGGATCAACTTTCCCAGCCACAAAACAACCCTCAGGAGAACACCACCAATACCGTACAACATCCCAACATCACACTTGATGAAAGAGAAGGAACCAGCCACCCTCTAACGTTACGGACCTCTCCACACACACACACACACTTACCAAAGCTGAAAAATCTGTCCTCTCCAAAGGCCTTAATTTCTGTGTAGAAAAACCGGAATAAGATATTACCATGTGGAGAGCTAGAAGAATTTTTCCAACTCCTCCTGAAGCAATATTTCCACAACCAAAAGTAATCCACTTTCAACATGAATTCATCTGGTGACAACATCAATGAAAACAAACAAACAAACAAAAACACGACACCAAAAAATCCCCAAACCCCTCAGACTGGACACCTTCAAACCTCAACTGCTACACTGACTACTTCAGAGAAAGAATGAGCAATGAAATACTCAACAACAAAACACCACTATAACAACCTCTTCTTCTCAGACAGAAGGGCCACAGAATCTCTAAGATCCAACCACTACATAGTAATAGAGCCAGCAGATAAAAGAGAAGCTACAGTTATCCTTAACCATGAGGACTACATAAAAGAAGCCAACCGACAACTCTGACACTACCTACTATAAAAAACTAGAGGAAGATCCAACTCCCCTATTCAGCTCAAAACTCAAAACCACCATCACATCATTTCCATCTGAACTACAAGAAAAACTTCAGACCTTGATCCCTCCATTATGCAATCCAGGGACTTTTTACCTGTTCCCTAAAATCCACAACCAAGGAGACCCCGGCAAACCTACATTACAAACAATGGAACCCTAATAGAAGAAATATCAGGTTTCACTGAATCCATCTAAACACCACTCATCACTCAAAGACCGAGCGTCATCCAAGACGCAACAGATTTCCTGTGAACACTCAAAAACATAGACCACCTTCCCAGCAATACGCTCCCAGCCACCATGGATATTACTAGTTAATACAACAACTTCCCACACCAGGATGGCATCCAAGCCTGCCTCACATATCTACAAGAATGAGATTACAACTTGGAGTACAGACCTCAGGATGTCACTGAACTCGTATATTTATTCCTCACAAACAAGAAGTTCAGTTTCAAGAACCAACACTTCCTTCCAGACCATGGGCACAGCTATGCACATCAAAATGGCCCCCCCAATATGTCAAGCTTTTTATGGCCCACCAAGAAGAAGAATTCCTCAAGAACGGTACCATCAAACCCTTACTATACCCGAGATACATAGATGACATCATTGTTTGGACTGAAACCCTGCAGTCTCCAATTGATTTCCACCAAAAATTCAACAATCATCACTCCTCCATCAGACTATTGCTTGAATACTCTTAACACCAGCATTTTCTTTTTGGACAGCATGATCAATACCCAAAATGGTAAAATTCAAACCACCATATATAAGAAACCCATGGACCAACACACATATCTACTAGGGCTCTGCGAAGCTTCAGTCCCCAATTCAATTTGGTGGAGATTTGGTCCAATTCAGTGGCCAAATCTCTAAATCCGAATTGAATCAGGAGACCCTTTAATCTCTCCGAATTGACCTGGAACCCTTCGAATCGATTCAGAGAGATTTGGAAAGATTTGGCGATTCAGACATAGACACAGCTTTAATAGACATAGACACTTCTAGGTACCAGGAAGCTTGTGAATGCTGTGATGCTGGGCACATCGAGGGTCCCACAGAAGCGTGGGGGGCTCCCCAGCGCGTTCAGCAGCAGACCCAGAAGTGGACCAGAAGCACTTCCAGGTCCGCTGGAAAGCACACTGAGGGCCCCCCCCGCATCCTCCCCGGTTCGGCGGCTGCTGCATCTTGGGTCTGGGGGGGGGGGCACCCAGAGTCCCCCCGCAGCAAATCGCCAAGCTGGGAGGTATGGGGGAGGCCCCCCCATCACACTCCCCGGCAGACCCAGAAGTGGACCGGAAGTACTTCCAGTCCACTTCTGGGTTTACAGCCAAGCATGCGGGCACCCCCATGCACTCCTGTGGGACGCTCCACCCACCCTAGCATTGCTGCGTTCATGAGCTGTGCCTGGTACCTCGAGGTATGCAGAAAAAACGTTTAAAGCTGTGTGTACGGCCGAATCGCTGATTCTCCGAATCAGTATTGAATCTTCAGATTTGGCCGAATCGAATTGAGGACAGTGATCTGAATCAACTAGTCAAGTTGCTGTTCCCAATTCATGTCGAATCCAAATCGAATACGGCCCTAATATCTACAAAGAACCAGCAAGCACCCTAAACACACCAAGAAAGCAGTAATTTACAGCCAAGCTCTCAAATATCACTGAATTTTCATTGAGGAGAATACCCGTGATTGCCACCTCACAAATCTCAAAAGGGCCTTCACCCAACAAGGACATTCCTCCAGAAAGATAGACTGCACTTTTGAAAGAGCCACCTGGATACCACGTGAAGATTTGCTGCAGTACAAAAAGAAAATCCCCACAAATCACACACCACTAGTTATGACACATCACCCTTCCCTGGAACCTACACGGAAAATCCTCATACAACTGCAACCCACACTAGAAGATGACCCAATTCTTAAAAGAGATCATTTCCAGAACCACCCATCCTAGCCTTTAAACAAGCACCAAACCTCGCTAACCTCATCACCAAAAGCAAACTCCCTATGACCCAAACCACACGTTAATGGATCCAGATCATGCCAGGACAAGAAATGCACAATCTGCCAACACATCTCCACCACCCCCACAATAATTACACCCCACAACAGAATCATCACCATTCCTGGATCTTACATCTGCACCTCCACAAATGTTATATATCTCATCCAATGCACCAAATGCCCTAATAGAAAATACGTAAGAGACGCCAAACAATAACTGTGTACCAGAATGAACTCGCACCGAAAATCTACCAAAGACAAGAATACCCAATTAATTTTGGGTGCACACTTCTCAGAGGACAATCACTCCCTCTCTGATCTCTGTTCTAATACTCAAAGGGAACTTACAAAACACCTTTCGTAGATGAGCCTACAGACTTCACTTCATAAATCTACTAGATAAAAAAAAAAAAATCATGAACTCAATATAGACATTGGATTTATGACACATTACAACCTGCCTGACATCTGATTCACCAGGTACCAGACCTACTAAACCTGACCTCTTACATTTTTCTTTCCCTCCCCCCTTTCTCCTCTCTCCCCTACTTTTCAGCCCTTTGTCTTCCTAATTTCCAGTTATTTCCTTTTTCGCAGACAGCCTCTTTTCTACCTTGAATTACTATTACTGTAGAGGCCCCTTACTCACCACCTTTGGATTTTCCCCCCCTGCTTTTTTTCCTCCCTCCCCTCCCCATTGTAAATAACTGGAAATTAGGAAACCAATCTCACTGACCTCCTGTCACACACTTAGCTTCTTTCATTCCTTGAAGATCTCAGAACAGCAGAGACTCCCTATGCCTGAAGAAGGGTGTTTGTGCCCAAAAGCTTGCTAAGAACTTTTTTCCAACTACTCAGTTGGTCTAGGAAAAGATACCACATCTACCTAAAGAACCTGGCCTCCTCATTACTATGCTAAGTATTCTATTCATGCATAGTTGCATCCATCTTGGTGAGTATGTTGATATATGGAGAGGAATTCTTTTACCAACCACTGAAGGAAGTAGAAGCTCCAGTTAACTGCTGTTATAGAAACACCTCTAGAGATTGTATTTTGTCTTTCAGTGTCCCAACTTGTATAAGATGGCTAGTACCACTTCTTCTTTGTGGTTTTCAGACCAATGTTAGTTTACCCATGGTTGTCATTTCTTCTAACAAGGGCAAAACCTGAAATGCAGAGTTACCTGCCAAAACATGCCCACAACCCTCTTGGGAAACTGTTTTGGTTTTTTTAATTTGTGGGGAGGGAAAGAGAAAGGAAAAGATGCAGAAAGAAAAGTAGTTTTGATGTCTTGCATTCAACCTCATAGCCAAATAGGATGAATTAAACTGTACACAATGTTAGAAACTTCAGCCTCCATCACCAATAACCATCTGTGTTAAACAAACTAGTGGAATACACAAATACAAAAAACACTTATCAGCTTCAGTCCTGGGAGCCTGCATATTTGGTAGCAGAATATGGACCGTTCGAATAATGTAGCCCTGAAGGGAGTAAAATGCTTACTCAGAGCTAAGAAAAAACTGGGTTCCTAAGACTATCAAGAAATGTTTGTTTAGTCAACATTAATACAGGCCTCTAGTGACTTTAATATACAGTAAATTTGGCAGATTATATCTGTATCTGTAGTATGTGCTAACAACTAATTCAAAGTTCCACTGTCTATTACAATTATTCACATAACATAGTGTTCTGGACTGTGGCTTTAGGTTGTATGCCTGGGGATAGAAATCTTGCTGTGTGTATTTTTATTACTGTAAAGGAGTCTCTACTTCTCTGGCATAATACACGTAAATTATAGGTATGGGCAAATTACAGGCTTCACACTGAATTTTGACCTCATGTCAACTTTTCACTAACCTAACTCCATTGAATTCAGTAAAGATATTTCTAATTTACACCCACGTAATAAGATCAGATGCAATTCTGAAAAATCAAGCAGCCTGCATGCAGCCCCTGTGTTTCTGGTTCGGGTTTTCACTGTACCGATATGATCTACAGGAGATACCTTATTCATTACAATTCCCTTTAAACAAAATGCGTGCCAACCTTGTTAGGCTCCTCATCATCTACATTTTCCTCATCATCCTCAGAGTCCAGAAGCAGCTTTCTCTTTCTTCGGAGCCGCTTGAGAGGTCTGTCAGCCTCGTTAACCTGAGAATCAGCGCTGGCATTAAAGTTTCTGTTATTTATTCGGTTTCTGCAGTCAGCTGGGATGTCTTTGGAATTCCTGCAAAAACCCACCATTTCAAATTAAATTAAAAATTACAACCAGCACAGAGACAGCAGGGAAAGGAACCTGGGCAAAGGATAAGTAAATGTATTGTTGTGAGAAGCACCAGATTTTCTATCCGAGGTACTTATGTAGCCCTCATTACCATAGTGTCTGTGCATCCCACAGCCTTTAATGCATTTATCTTGGCAAAGTATATCCTGAAAGACAGGAATGTATTATTATATGAACCTTATTGTTAAATGGGACACTGAGGCATGGAGAAGCTAAATTGCTTGTCCAAGCTCATACAGATAGTTTGTAACAGAGCATTAAGTTGAATCCAGGTTTCTCATGTCCTAGGCTAGTGTCCCCTAGACATCAGACTATCCCACCTAATGAGACGTGCCAGACAAGTAGACCTAGAAGCTTAAATCCTTCATTTATCTGCTCAGTAGATACAGCACAGACAGTAGCAGCAGTCTGACTTGGGCAGCTGGAACAAGGTAGTCCCCTTGTTGGCAGCCTCGGCTGTTGGGCCAAGGACTGAGATTCTGGAAAGCAGTCTCTTCTCATCCTTTCAGGTAGTGCCTCAACGAGAGGATGAGGACCATCTGCAGGGCACTGTAAACTGGCATTGCTTCTGCCAGTGCTCTGATTGTACCCTGGTCTATTGATTTTGCTCCTGTCATTGTTTTCTCATGCAGATGTTCAATTCCACTCAACTTAAAATATTATTAAACTTAAAAGAATGCGAGATTTGCTTACTTGTCCTTATGCTGCTGGGAGCAGGTGCAAAACTTGTCATTCTCAAAGCAGTCCATTTGCCCACAGTTTTCACAGGCTTGTATGCCAGTACGAGACACTTTGTCTCTGGGTTCTGCTGAGAAAAGCAATGAAGAAAAGAAAAACTTAAAAGCTTTATGCTTCTAACACTTTTCTTATCCAGGGGGCTCTGTCAAAGTCCTTTACAAACTTCTGTTAACTACTTACCTCACAATAGGATGGTGAAGTTCAGTTATTATCAGTGAGCAGGCATATAAAGAAACTGTACCATGGTATTAAAGCCTAAATCACCAACTTCTAAAGCATCTATGATTTTTTTTTAATTTTTGGAGAAACCCCACGCTCTGCAAGGTATCAAAGAATGATTTAACCCCAAGGCTGTAACCAAGGTCCAATTAGAAATCTATTTTTCTAGTGCACCATAACTTCACAGCCAAATGCAAAAGCACCTTTGTTTGAAATGCTGTCAAATGTGTCCACCTTTCTGGGGGACCTGTCACTTGGATATGGCCTAGTTTTAAAAATGCACACTGTGGTCCCTGGAAACCTCTTTACTACAGGGCCTCTGGGAAAACATTACAGGTATTACGAGAATTCAAGTCTCTTTATAACAATGCTGTACACTAGCAAGAAAAATGTATGAGCTGAAAACAACAAAACTAGAAAATATACCATGAGAGCCATCGCTACAATATTACACTTATTTTTAGTCCACATTGATTTAGGTTCCAATGAAAATTGAATCCCGCTTTCATATCTCAGTAAAAAACAAACTATTTTGGTCCATATTTTCAGAACTTAATACCAAAGTACTGCATATTTTGTTCACATGCAAATAATCTAGTGCACAAATGATATACTTGAGAATACATGGGGATACCTATACAATCAGTCTATTATTATTATTATTATTATCCTGGATGCAGCTGCATATTTTGTGTGCAGACTTACCTGTTTTGTGTCTCACATTTTTGAAAAACATGTTCTTTAGTGCTAAACAAACAAATTTGAAAAATTATTTTGTAGAGTTTCAATTACTTCCTATCCTCAATCATTGATGTATGTAATATCCTGTTAGGGGACTGACAAATTTGGTATGTATCTGATGGCCCCAGACGACGCATCCCCCACAAGCAGGAA